TGAATACTCATTTTACAGGTAATAGAATGCCCTTTATCTTTCTTATACACAGTATTGAGATCCATTCATTTGTTTAGAAGCTACACTTCGTCAAAGTTGTAAAAGCTGCTTCGTTAAAAATACACACACAGCTGCTTCTTTCAGGTCAAAAAAAAGTTAAACAAAATAAAAATATATTTTAATTAAAATTTACATATGGGCAATTCTCTGGGGATGTCAACCAAGCCAAAAAGCGTAAAACTTGAAAAAAACATATTTCTACATGATTTTGCACTGATATTTGATTCTAGTTAGATGGATCCTCAACTAAGCTAAGTAATATGAGTATCCTTGGATAATTTTACAGGGTAATACCGGTTATATGGACAAAAAAGTCATTTTTTGGTATTTTTTAGTATTTTTTAAAGTGGCTCTTAAACGGTTTTTTTGACGTTAAGGTTGCAGAAAAACCACCTAAGAAAATGACGGAAAAAACTGTCGCGTGCGACATGTAGCGTGTGACAGTCACTTCGATACTAATAAAAAATTAACCACTCAATATTTTGAATTCAAACCAAATACATTTTAAAGAAGAAAGACCAAGGAACACTATGAAATTAACTGCATTAAAATATTCCTTCACGTTTCGTTACAATCGAAAGTTAGGCAGGAAGTCAAAAAAGTAACTTCTATTCGTGTCGCGTGCAAAAGTCTTGGTTTTTTTTATATATCTTAAAAATGAAAAATGTCCCAATGTCACCCCTAGCACATATTTTAGTGCTAATCAAGACCTTTAATTTGAGCCTAGTGCCAAAGGAAAAGAAGTACTGAAAGATAGTATTTTTCACCTGCAAAGCGTACGAACGTCGCGTGCGACAGCAGAGAATTGCCCATATTCTTTTTGTTATTGGGGTGGGTGTTTGTTTTCAGCAGTTTCTTTTGGGTATTCGTTTGTTCGGGGGTGGGGGTTGGTTTCTCAGTGGCAAAGCAAAGGGATCCCTTATTCAACGGTGTTTTCAGCTGTTCCTTTTGAGTACAAGTGTGACCACCACACTTTCTTAATCTAAGAAACGATCACCCGTCACACCCCAGTAACTTCTCCCCGCTTAACTAGGATTACTCCCCTCGTTTCACTCCATTTTTTTATATCAATTAACGGAAACCCGTCACACCCCAGTTACTTCTCCCCCGCTTAATTAGGATCCTAGCTTCTAAACTAATGAATGGATCTCAATGGTGTGTATAAGAAGCTGGTGTAATTTGAGATCAAATGTCTAGTATACTTGAATAAAAAACAAGAAAGGAAGCTAGCTTCGGCAAACCGAAGCTTATATACCCTTGCAGATCATTCTATTAATTTACAAATCGCAAAAATGTTAAATTTCTTATTATTTCACATTAATTTTTCGATCGTTTCTATCACAGCTATATGATATAGTAGTTCGATCTTTTAAAAATTAAAATCGAAATTTGGAAATATTTCAAAATAGTGATATCCCAGAGTAGAAGGGAATGTAATAAAAACCAACAAAGATATAATTTTTTTCCCATAAATATTCATTTAATTTTTCGACCGTTCCTATGGCAGCTATATGATATAGTGATCCGATTTAAAAAACAAAAAAACCGAAATTCAGAAATATATAAAAAAAAATATTCCCAAGAGTAGAAGGTAAAATTTCAAAAAACACCGGAGCTAGAATTTTTTTACGTTTTTTTTTTTTTATCCCTCCTATGGGAGCTATAAGATATAGTTGTCCGATCCGGTTGGTTCCGACATATATACTACCTGCAATAGAAATACGACTTTTACGAAAGTTTCATCCCGATAGCTTTAAAACTGAGAGACTAGTTTGCGTAGAAACGGACGGACAGACGGACAGACGGACAGACGGACATGGCTAGATCGACTCGTCTTGTGATGCTGATCAAGAATATATATACTTTATGGGGTCGGAAATGTCTCCTTCACTGCGTTGCAAACTTCTGACTGAAATCATAATACCCTCTGCAAGGGTATAACAAGAGAGAACGCTATAGTCGGCTTGGTGTCCCGACTATTTAATACCCGTCACTCAGCTAAAGGAAGTGCGAACGCTGTACTCGTGTTCGTGTCCCGACTATAATCGTAGCTCAGCTAAAGGGAGTGCGAGGGAGATAGATATATGTAGATATTTTGATTCCGTAATCAATGAATGGTCCGATATGAAAAATTCGATTTCAAACCATTATAACAAACGGACGATAGAACGGCCTTAGTGTTTACTTTAAAAACAATTTACCTTAATCTATTTTCGAGTAGAAGTGGTAGTCAGTGCTAGAAAAATATTTTTTAATAATAAGAAAATTTTGAAACCAAAAAATGTCGTTCTTATTTTAGGAACATTTTATACTTGGAACGTCAGAATTATCTCTGTCAATGAATATGGCCATTGGCCATACTTGTTTGTTGGGAACAGAGATTAAAATCACGCAGTCAAAAAAATGACGACATCAATTTAAATATATTAACTTTGAGGTGTTAAAATAAACTCAGACATTCAAGCATTATCAAATTGATAATACAATTAAAGCTGAATTAATTAACATTTGCCTTTCGCTCTTCTCCTGAGTGGAAAAGCTACGGCAAATTACATCCTAGGATGGATATCTAATACGCTATTAAAAACCAGAATTGTTGTCTTATCGAATGGATGCTTGAAATAAATGCATTTAAAACGTAAATAAAATTTAAACATAACTTAGGATATCAGGCAGCTGCCTAGGGCGGCAAATATTCAGATCAATAAAACAATATAAATGCGAAAATTAGGCTGCAGTCTGGGGCGGATATCACATAAAATGTAAACATAATACAAATAATAACACATTCAAATGTGAATTCCTGTTAGCGATAAGGTTTAAAACGCAATATGTGCAATCGAAGATTACCATTGAAGTGTTTTGTAGGGTTAGAGTGGGCGTGGCACTCGGCTGAAGCGGACATGGGCTTTATAGGCGTACGAGGGTTTATGTTATCAAAAATTGTTCAAATCGGACCGTTCGTTGAAAAGTTATCCGCATGTCTCCAACTCCCTCATGGGTTCTTTAGCTGAGTAACGTCAGTAGTCAGGACGCCCAACATTCCATCTTCTTCATGTTCGACCTGTGGCCTTGTTGCAAGAAGTGCCTGGTACAATGTGGGAATTATAAACGCACTGGTCGAAGCAAAAAAGTGTTTATGCATTCGTCTTAAAGTGAAAACTTACACCAAACGGTTTCCTGGATTGCTAAACAATAGGCCATAAATGGACTGCCCTTTTTAGGTACTTTTTACCCTTTCTAGGTAATTTATCTGCATGCTGTGTGATTAACTTTTAACGCTTCCCTTTACATAATTTTAAATACAAGGGTGTATGTCATTGGCAAACGCTAAACGCTGTAAAAGAATAGCACAGTGTAGCACATGTATCGAAGCGGGGCCTTACATTTTGCCTTCCATATAGATGGACATTCAAAGATTTGGTATCTACTTTCGCATCTTTGCTTGATACCGACACTTGGCCTCGAGTTAGCTAAAAAGTATATTTATAAAATTGTAGATTTTAGAGCTATTAAACAAACTTCTGGCTGAAATTATAATACCCTTTGCAAGAGTAAAAAAATAATTCTCCTCTCTCGAGATACCTTTTTTGATATGAAATGTTTTTACACCCTGCAGAGGGTATTATGGTTTCAGTCAGAAGTTTGCAACGCAGTGAAGGAGACGTTTCCGACCCTACAATATATATATATTATTGATTAGCATCACTAGACGAGTCGATCTAGCCATGTCCGTCTGTCCGTTCGTCTGCCTGTCCGTTTCTACGCAAACTAGTCTCTCAGGTCTGAAGCTATCGGGTTGAAACTTTCCCAAAAGTCTTTTTTCTATTGCAGGTAGTATATAAGTCGGAACCAGCTGGATCGGACAACTATATCCTATATGAATATTCGGAAAAATAATGGACAAAAATTGTAGCTTCGGTGTTTTTCGAAAAATTACTATCTTCTTTTGGGAATAATGTTTTTTATATATTTCTGAATTTTGAAATAAAATAAAAAAAAAAATTGACGACTTTATCATATGCTGCCAGAGGAACGATCGGAAAATTAATGGGAAAATAATAGGAAATAAATTATAGCTATTTTGTTTTTTTTTGGGGTCTCTTCTAGTTTAGGATATGCTTTTTTTTAATATTTCCGAATTTGGAATTAATTTTAACAAAAATCGGATACTTTATTATATAGCTGCCATAGGAAGGACATTATAGGAAATTTAACATTTTGCGATTTGTAAATTAATAGGAATGATCTAAAAGGGTATATAAGCTTCGGCTGGCCGAAGCTAGCTTCTTTTCTTGTTGTTTTTTAAAGTGTTTAATCACGCCTATTACAAGAAAACTAACGAAATCAATTGTTGTACCCTATAATATTCCGTGTTACACTACCCGTTACGGGTAAAAAATCTGATTTTAGAAAAGTACAGTACTGTTTATTTTATACCTACTTCGCGACTTTATTTAAATTACGTCGAAGCGGGGCCTAGAACCTTTCTTTTTCGTCCCTATTAAAATTTACGACCGCATAGCTCTACCGACGTGAGAAAATATGATTTTCTTATCTGTGGTTGTCCTTTATTTATTTCAGAAAAAACCTGGGACGCAGGTATAAAACTGCGTCCCTGGTTTTTTCAGAAATAAAGAAATCCCTGGCGTCATATACTGCTATACTTAATGACATTGCTCGGTTAAACGCTTAAACGCGAATCCAATTAAGTATTGAACATATTAAAGACTAATCAGTGAATAGAAATAAATTTATTCAAATTCGACCTCTACCCCTTTTTCTAAATACACAGTTTAAACGATTGGAGAGGCAATGCTGCAAAATTCCTTATCTCTTACGATTCGGTTATATGTATTTATGTCAAATGTGCGCACACATGTACAAAAGAGAGGGAAAGAAAAAGGTCCGTCATATAAATAGAAATAATATTGTTCGAATATTTCCAGTCCGCTTCAAGACTTGAATGTGCGCAGTTGTGTGTTCTGAAATTTTATACTTTTCGTTGGACTTACTGTAACTGTAATTGGATTTAGACCGGCCCAAAAGCTCTATAGATAATATAATAATGGCGCCTCTGGAAAGCGATAGCGATGTGGAAATCATAGAGACTGAATCAATAGACCATTATCATCATCATCGCAGGCCGGAACCCTTTAAGTTTCCTGCCAGGATGTATCCGCAAATTCCGGGTGGCCTTCTGTCACCACCTTTTTCGCCAAGTGATTCCATGGATATGCCACTGCTAAAGGAAGTTTTGGCCCGCAACGGCCAGGTTAATGTTCCGGAAGGATTCGTCCTGTGCATTCCGTGCTACCTGTGCAAGCGGCCCTTCAACGACTACGAAACACTCAAGGAGCACCTCACCCAACATGCGGCTGAAATCAGCGCCTGGAATACATCGCGTGCGCAGGCGCAGGAGCCTCCGCCGATGATCAAACCCTTTGTCCATCCCATCAATCAGCCTTTCGTTCATCCCATGGAGCAGCCTATATTTCATCCCCATCATGACCAGGCCATGGGTCACCATGAGAGGCAGTTTCACATGCCCGTGGAGTTCGGCCATCAGGCCCCATTGGATCTGTATTCACCGCCCCTCGAACCGCCGATGGCGTTTCCCATGCCTTCGCCTCATCAGCTTCACCATCAGCATCCACATCCGATTCAACCCCCAATGCACTTTCCACCACTGGAATTCCCAGGACCGCGGCCCGAGAGGCTATTCATGCCACCTCAAATCACGCAGGAAACTCCTGTTCAACCAGTGCTCAGAGACATTCTGAAGAAACCACGAGTTCCGCTGGAAATGCAGAACTTGATTACGCCAGAGATGGGGTCCTTTGGGGTGGAGGAAACACCGGCCTTGGTAAAACCCAAATCGTTATCACCAATTCCTCCGCCGGTTCCCCAGACAAAAGCCCCATCTCCGGTGCTGATCAAGCCAAAAATCCCCAAGCAGTCGACCTATGTGCGGGGTCAGTTCGAGTGCGACTGGTGCGGAAAGCGATTAAGCTCCCGCCAGTCCCTGCGATACCATGAGAGCCACTTCCACGCGGAGGAGGAGCCTCCCACCAACGGGATGGGCAAGGATGTGCAGAAGCAGCACAAGTGCGCCACCTGCAAGAAGCGCTACAAGCGGCGCACCTTTCTCCAGATGCACATGAAGGTCAAACATGGGATAGTCAGTCCGGGTAAATTCGCACCCGATCCACTGTCGCCAACCGCAGCAGATGCGCCTGCGCTGCCGGAGACTGAAGCAGCCTCCCCAACTTCCCCGCCGGCTGAGGAATCGAGGAAGGAGATTTGGAGCACTCGAATCTACAACGCAGTGGCCGCGGCCAAGTATCAACCAGCCAGCGAGCGAGCGGAAAAGTATCTGAATGCGCCACGTCAGCAAACCGAGCTGATGGAATCGGGTTTCGCGACCACGCCGAAGCGGACCTATCCACTACGTTCACCGTTCTTCAATCCGTATGTTCAGATAAGACTTATCACCATCTATCAACCCCTCTAAATTCTTGGTTCATTTTAGGGACCTATGGCTGGACTACGATGGGTACTTATAGGGAGAACTGGATCGGAACTAACTAAAATATTGAATATTTAATATCTAAAAAGGAAACACAATATCGCTTTAAAGCGGATGTCAGCTGAGCTGACCCACTCGACCGACTACTGTTGGTCTCGTTATTTAAACTCTAGAATATCTCTTCATTTTATGGAGCTCCCTAAGTATGTACAATGTACATTGTACTTTTATAATGTCATGAATGCATGTCGCTCTCACTAGCGATTTTCTGTGTCCTCAGCACTTTGGATCTCGACTTCGAAATCCCAAAGGCATAGCCCAAATGTTTATGTCATATTAAACAAAACCAAATTGCTGAGCCTGCAAAGAAATTTGAGCAGTCCAACAATCAAGCCGCCCATTGGTCTTTTATGTTTTCGAAATGAATCGCCACCAATGAGAAAGTAAATAAAGAAACTTATGTGCACAAACCAAACTAAAAATGATTTTTAATCCCTTGCCATCCTCCGATTCTTTTTAAGTACACAGCAAAATGAAACTTCGCAGCGGGAACTCTCAGATTACATGAAGCACTTGTAAAAAATAATCTCCCGCAGAGATTCTTCTGATAGTCCCGTTGCGACCCCTGACATTTGGCATACACGTGTATTTTGTATCACCAAAAATATAACCATTCACTGTAATTTCTAGTCCTTAAATCTAATATGATTTAAGTACATATACTTATTTTAAAATTAAAATTAACAAGTTAAAAATAAATGTATACGATTATGTTAATAAGAGAACAGAATGTATAGTAAGCGCTCTACTTTTGGTTTCTCATCTCAGCAGCACTTATCAGCAAATTGCGCTTGGACCCACAAAAAGTTCGGGTTACTGGCTAATCTTTCTGCTTTTCTGGTGTTTCATATTAAGAAGTCTCCCAAAATGAACGTTTAAAAACATATACAGTTTGTCAAGTAATTGTTTGCGAAAGGAAAAATGACAAAGAAATTATTTTTTAAATGGGAAATGCAAAAGCAAATACTAGATTTTTTAACATTTTTCTTTTGGAATATTGATTATTAAACTATTATCTTTCCGATTGCATCAAAACAATTTTAAATTTCCCCCTAAAACACAATTAATTGTTTATTATAATTAAAAAAGATTTTTTTCCATAACACTAGTATTTTTATACCCGTTACTCGTAGAGTAAAAGGGTATATTAGATTCGTGCAAAAGTATGTAACAGGTAGAAGGAAGCGTTTCCGACCCTATAAACTATATATATTCTTGATCGGGATCACTAGCCGAGTCGATCTAGCCATGTCCGTCTGTCCGTCTGTCTGTCTGTCTGTATGAACGCTGAGATCTCGGAAACTATAAAAGCTAGAAGATTGACATTTTGCATGCAGATTCTAGGAGTTCCTACGCAGCGCAAGTTTCTTTCAAAAGGGTGCCACGCCCCCTCTAACGCCCACAATCGCTTATATACGATTTTAAAAATTTCAATATTTTGGAAAAGTAAAAATGCAGTTTTATTGTGTTTATCAATACCTATCGAAATGTAGAAGAAATTTTTTAAATCGGACCATTCGTTAAAAAGTTACGGCGGATCAAAGTTTTTCTCCATCTCTTTCGCACTCCCTTTAGCTGAGTAACGGGTATCTGATAGTCGGGGCACCCGACTATAGCGTTCTCTCTTGTTTATTAATGCGTTAGCGGCTGTCCTTTTGCAGCAGAGGTACCAGAAAGGACTGTTGGTAACTTTTTTACCTTGATAGCACAGTCGTGTCCTGAAAATGAACGAGTTTTATTACAAGTCTTGGTCCTGGTAGCATTTTTATTGCAGTTTTCTCCAGTTTTGAGCGGAAAACCCGGCAAAGGAATGTCCAACGAAAAATCCTGGATAATTATTTTATCAGAAATTTGCAGGGTAATACCGCCAGTCGATCGTATCGTCTTAATTTTTATTTAATTAAATCATATATATATCATATATGCACTTTGTAAGCAAGCTAAACCTCACTGCTCCGACTATATTCGAAAAGGTTAGAATCCTGCACATTTCTGATAAAATAATGATACAGGATTTTTTGTAGAACATTCTTTAAAGGCAGCGGTCGGCAGTGTCCTATTAAATGAGCATAGGGAATTGTTCTGCTCATTCTCTGTCGCTCACGTACACTGTAGAACAGCGGTCTGCACACACATCGATGGTCCCGAACTAGCGAAATCGCCATACACTGGGGGCGTTCATACCAGTCCCGGAAATCTACAGGGTATTAAGTTTTTATTTTAATATTTTAAATTATTTTTTACAAATTACTTTTTTATATAAACAAAATAATGTTGTATTCGGTTTAAAAATTATTATACACTTGTCAAAAATTTCATTTTAACATTTTTATAATTCATAAAGGAGTGTTCACTCTCCTATAACTATTTTGCACTTGTAAAAAATACACAAGCCACCTAATGACCCTTAAGGGACCACTCGGTGGTCGATCCCTTTTCTACCCCAAAAGGCCACCTGCCGGCGGCTGCTTAAGAATGGGTCGGCACACACATACAGTGACATTGTTGTTTTATATTTGTGTGAGTGCCCTGTAGTTCTCAAAGGGGCCGGTGGCCCTTTCGGGGTAGAATTAAAAATGTCCTCAGACGGTCAATTCCGGGTCGTAAAAATGCAGGCCATGCACCACAAGGACCCCACCAAAAATTGGTACAATAACTTTAGCCGGTTTGAAGCTATAGCTATATGTAAGTCAAATAATCGTTTTGCAATATCCCTTCAGTTCTGGCGTCCCATATCGGGGACAATTCCTTAGGCCAAACGCTCGGCCGCTGTCGACGTCAGCAGAGCAGTCGGTATTTATATATTGCGCTCTCTTTCCTTGTCTTATAATTTGTGGTTGTACTAGAGGAAAAAGCGGAACTCCCATACAATTTTCTCTATGTGGCGTCCTCGGTGCGTCCTCGAGTACAGATGACCTGTCCTCGGGTTTTCCTTTGGTGATTACTGAGGGAAAAGTGACATCTGGTACTGAAGGGATAAAATAAAATGTCAATGTATGTATGTGCCGACCGCTGCTATAATGACAAATGAATAGCGCAAAATAAATTCTTTCGTTAGTCTTCCGCGGTTGTCCTTCAAGCTATTATAAACTTTGTGGGCGGTTTCTAATAATATTTATGTATTTTACGTCATTGTTTCACAAAAAAGTCTTTGACCAAATGATTTTGGCTGTGGACCGAATTCATTACTTCTCAGAACTAAAAATAAAGGATATAAGCCCTACCACTAACGTCGTATTTTTTTGTGATTTTGGGATGCATTGCTTTTGTTCTTGGGATATTTTTCGGGCTCTGAGGAACCAATCCAGAAAAAGTTTTAACGCAGATCGTTCATGTCAATAAAACTTAAAAGTATTATCTAATTAATTTGAATATGGGACATAATGTGAGGATGACTCGAAGGTTATGTTCGTTCGTTCGGCAGATAATTTTTGTTGATCATCACATTCTACATAGTCAATATCGGTTGACTCGATGTCTCACTGACCCGCCAAGCGATCAGCACATTCTGCAGTGTCAGCCGAGCCAACATATACTGACCTACTCCAGAAAAGAACCCGTTCCACTATTCTTTACACTTAACTTCCTCGTATCCAAGTAGTATATGTATAACCATGTACCAACCTCCCAATAAATCAGTTATCACTTCACCTTATAACTCCGTGGTTCTACTTTCTGACCTCCGGGAAGAGGCCTCGTAACTGTAAGGACCGAGTTCATTATACAACTTATATTGGTCTACAAGCCACGTTTGGGGTGTTCAATTGCGTTGCAAACGTTGTAAAGTGTGAAAGTGTAAATCAATTCCAACAACAATTTCTATACAAAATAGTTTTCAAAAGTAGGCCTTAAAAACTTTTTTGTATAGAAATTGTTGTTGGAATTGATTTACACTTTTACACTTTACAACCTAATTGATTTGTTATTCGTTGGTCATGTTGAGCAACATTGAGAACGAACAGGCTATAAGATCTTCTCTTACTTTTAAGGGGCTGTCCATATATTTCGTAATCACGTTTTTGGTGATTTTTGACCCCCTCCCTCCCCCTAGGTGATTACGTAATATATGGACAGCCCCTAAAGAGTCATTTGAAGATTTCGGTTCTACGTACACGGGGTGGTCTACTAATTTAAAATCGCCTATTTTTCGGGCTATAATAGATATAGCTATAAAACGGCTAACACGATATCACTTGCATCCGCTCTCTCCCGTTTTCTCGCTCTTTCGGTTTCGCTCGTTTTCTATTGATCGTGAAAATATTTCGATCGGGAAAGGAACAGTTGCATTTGAAATGCTGAGCGGAATAGTTTGGTAGTAGTAGAGTAGTAGTACCGTGTGAGTAGTGAAAGAAAAGGAATGCAAAGGAATTATAACTAGTTGAGAATAACATTGCAAGCCAAGGGAATTTATCAAGTGCGTACAAATTTATGAATTAAAAAGTGTATGTTTTTCTTAACTGCTTTTAACCCTTTGAACCGCGTACATATGTATAAACATTTAAACTTTTATTCTTATGAAATGTACAAAAATTGTGAAATTATATTTTTTACAGGCAAAGACAATGGAGCCGTCCTTGTCTGAAATCAACGTTTCCTGCCTGCTGTGCGAGCAGACTTTTGATGCCATTGACAAGCTGGACGAACACCTCAACGCCCACTTTCCACAGCCTGTGGCCAGCCAAAGCCAAATCTGCGATCTCTGCGGACGCGGAATGCGATCATCACTGGAGCTCCACCAGCACTATAAGAGATTCCATGAGGCCCATGTGGCCGCCACAGACGGGCATTTCCACTGCCAGCTCTGCGACAAGGTGTTCCTCCTCCAAGATCACCTCAATGTGCACGTGAAGATCGAGCACTCTTCAGATGGCTACCGTCCGGATGACAAGATACCTGAGTGGAAGCAGAACAACGACAGGTGCATTGATCTAACCACCGATTATAGGCTGGATCCCATTTTGTGTCCACCACCCAAGAAAAAGTATCCTCCGCGCTCACCCTTCTTTAATCCGTAAGTACAGACGCCAAAAAAAATATTTATCCATACTTAGAACTCGTCTTTTTCCAGAAATCTTTGGCTATGTACGGACAACTCCTTCCTGTAGATGATATAACAACTATATAATTAAATGTAGTCGATCTACGAACTACTGTCAATACCACTTAGCTTAATTATCTTGACATTCCAAATGATTCTCACATAATAATTACCAAAATGTATATAAGGTTCGGAGAGAAAGACATGTGCCTATAATAAGTAAAACAATAAAACTCATTGCCTTATGATTTAATTAAAATTTATTTTGCTTTATATCTTGATGTACTCGTATGTGTATAAAGTATAGTACAATATATGTATATGGTTTCGATTAGTTAGCCCACGCAAAGAACGACAACCTGGGGTACAGGATTGGGGTCTCTTTATTGATACAGTATAATATTCCTTCTAAGCTTAAGACATTCACTTCCTAGCAGTCCAATCAATGCAATACACAATACCAAATTTTCTTCGTACATTCGTTTGAAATAAGTTCGCTAACTACAGTGCAACAAAGCGCCTTTCCTTCGACTTATAAATAAATAGACTTCTCTGGATTCCGGGAAATAAATACTACTGAAAACAGCAAACAAATGGGATAAGCGATAACAATTTGTGGGTCTGAGAGTTTGCAGAATGTTAGAAGCAGTTGGAACGAACGAAAATCGCGTTAAATTATAATTTACAACAGTTTCGACGGTTTATTGCATAAAATATCTATAATAAATAACAGTGCAATCGGCCTGCAGGGGAGCTTTACTGACTGGTTAGCTGGACTTTTGACTAATGTTCGCCTAAATCGAACTGGCAACGATATCTAGTAACAGTTGTGACAAGTTGGCTCTCTCGCATTTACTATGTTCTTTAATTGATTTAATTTTATTTTTAGTGCAACAAATCAACAAATAAATAAATACATGCACTTTAATATTACCTAAGCCGAGAGAGTGGGTAAGGGGAGGGGCAAAGGGGGATCGAGTCGATGTGGGTCTCCATTGTGTTGCGCCAGTTTCGCCTGCATTCGCTTCTCGCTTTTAGTCACCAGAGTCCGAGTTTTTAGGTTCTAAGAAACTCGTATTTTTGTTGCATACAATAGTTGTAGGATTTCCTGCTTATGTACTATTTAACCTGAGCCCGAATGTGTTGCAAAAATTCATAGTATGACAAACTAGATTCACTGCGATCGTCGGTTAATCTCTCGATGAACTGGCCCTTGGCCGTACTCGTGTCCCTGCGGATTGGGAAAGTATTATTACCACGAAGAACTACCATTTAAATGGGCTTCCAACTCACCTAATTATCTGCACCAGCGCCGAGTAGGGCTTATCGTAGTTGAGTCGCAAAATAAAGCGCTTCAGCACATCGTTCTCGTTGCTCACAACATTTGGCAATCCGTATACATAGTCACCCAGCTCTGCAGTGGAGCTGATGCCTGAAATTCGAAATTCGGAACGGTTAAGTGGGGATCCAACATTTTCCGGATTTAAGTATCTTACCCAGCACAGCTTCCAAAACATCGGGTGGCACATTTAGTCCGACATAGAGCATTATCAGAGTGCCGCAATCCATCAGGAACATCGACCGCGAGTCCAGACTGCAATGAAAAGGGATTGTAGCCAAATGAAGAACTAATTGACCACTACTCACTGTTCCGCGGACAGTTGCAGGCGCGGCAACTCCGGCAGCGGTTCGTCCTCCTCCTCGTCGTCGTCCTGTGTCGAAGTCGCGTTCGAGTTGCGGGCGTGGTAGATGAGCGAATCGATCTTGTACAGCTCCGGGTAGACGTACTTCATCAGCTGGTCGAGCGGCAACGTCTTCATGCAGTCCATGGCGAAGACGCGATCATCTAGTCGTGTACTGGTGCCCACACGGAAGGCAGGCTAAGGGAACGAGCGGTTAAGACGAGGCTTACTAACATATTGCCCAGAAGAACTCACGTGCTTCAGCAGTCCCAGGATGTAAAGCGGCAGCAGGGCGAGGCTGCGCGGAGCTATCAACTGACCCGACTGACCAGAGGGCAGATTTTGTGCTATCTTGAAAGCGTTGTACACGTCGATCGTGGCGTTGATGAAGGCGTCACGGGCGTCCGACAAGTTGGAGGCCACCGAACGGTCTACGGCCATCTTGGACAGCAGCCCGATAATTGCCTCCGTGTCCGCCGAGTGCATGACCTCAGGCAGCGAGGCAGTTACCGGCAAGCACACTGTATGCACTCGGATCCGACGCTCACCCTCGCTGTTCGTGTAGAGCAGCGCCGCCTGGAAGCAGATGGTCTTGACGTCCGTGAGGCTCTCGTCGTAGGAAATCTGCATGCCATATCCCGCATCCGGATTCACGTTCGGCAGCGACAGCAGGTCCGTGGAGCGCACAAAGAAGTTGCCGTGGAATGTGTGCACTTGCAGGCCGCGAGTGCAGCGGATGCGCATCACCGCCTCGAAGCCAATCTTTCGGGTCAGATAGCGCTTGAAGCACGTGCGGAACGACTCCACCATGTGCGGCTTGGTCTTCTGATAGAGCGGGAAGTGGTGAACGCAGCCGCCGCTGTGCTTGCTGATGCCAGCTGAAAGGGAGAGTGAAGATAAATAAATAAATAATAAAAAATGCGCCAAGGGTAAGTAACTTAGAGCCACTCACAGATGGTTGCCATGTCGCTGTACTGCTGGTTCATCAGGAAGAGGTCGCAGGCTATCTGATAGCCGGAGCACTCCAATGCGAAGCGCTTGTAGAAGTCGGTGGCCGGATTCAGGTGGGCCACGTCCTTGGCCGAGCGGTTGTTGGGATCCTCCCGCGGCTCCAGGGAGCCGGGCCCCTTGTTGGGAAGGCACGATTGAAAGACGGTGATGCGGCCGCCGGACGCTTGCTAGAAACATAATTCAGAAATTATTATAAAATTCATCCCATCAACTTTAATTAATAGCACCCACCATTAGCTTGAAAGCCACCTGAAGGGCAGCTCCCAGGGCGGAACCCGGATCGTGGGTGTGGGCAAACCGCTTGGGCAGCTGCTTCAGCAGATCCCGCACCAGCTCCTTGCACTCCTTCAGGTTCACCAGCAGACTGTCGGGACGCGGCAAGAAGGGGTCTTCGATGTCCAGCAGCGTCATCTCGTGCGGCTGATTGAGCCCCTCAGCCATGCTGTAGAAGTGCACGAAGCTGTCGAAGCAGATGAATCCCACCTGGGTGCGCGCGTCGCCGGGCATCTCGTCCAGGTGACGGTTGAGCACGGAGCAGGCGGCCTCCAAGTAGCCGCTCTGCTGCGCGATGATCGAGACGTCGAAGAGGAACAGGTACATGGCCGGCTGCGGCGGACGCAACATGTACTCCGAGGGAGCAATGAACTCGATGGTGCTGGAGCGCACCTCAGGCCGCCGGGTTACGTCTCCGTATGTCTTGGTGGCCGGATCAAATTGGAAGTCATCGGGCACTGAAAGAGGAAAGAATTTTAAAGTAGCTGCATTGACACTTGGGAAATTCTTCTCATTTACATTCGTTGACCCGATAGCACAGATTGCACTTCCACATTTTGCTGTCCACGAAGTAAACGAAGGGATTGATGTAAGTGCGGCACAAGCGGCAGCGCACAATGTTGATGCACTGAATTACAGGCAGGCTCTATAAGAGATATTTAAAGATTAAGAGTCTAAGAATTCTAATTCATTGAATATATTTCTTACGTTGACATCGCGGAACGGATGTATCACTATGCCCAGCGGCAGCCGTGACTTTTGCAGCAGAGAGTTGCTCTCGGGGATCTTCGTTAGCGTGCAGCGCATGATGCTCGGGCTGCAGTTGATGGACTCATGGAACTGGTTGTGCAGCACCACCTTCGGGGGCGCCAGCGTGGCCGGCGACAAGATGTGCCGATTCTGCATCAGGTCGATGGTGTCCTGACCCCACAACCTACTGAAGCCCTGCTGGGCAACATTTAGCGGAGCAGTGGCCTGCGGTGGCTGCTGGGGCGGCTGTTGTCCATAGGCCTGCGGAGGCGCCTGGGCCTGATACTGCAGTGGAGCTCCCGTTGGCTGTGCTCCAAACATTCCCGGCGGCGGTGGCTGCACTGCAGACTGAGGGGGAGGTGGTTGTTGTTGTGGGGCTGGCGGATACGCCTGGGAGTAGGGATGCTGCTGCGGCGGAGGCCCTACGGGTTGCGCTGCCTTAGCCGGATTGGGTGGCCAGGCTCCTGGCGGCGGCGCTGCCCTCTGGAGGTTGTTGTTCTGCTGGTTCTGCTGCTCGGAATTAGCCGGAGGAGGCACTCCGTAGGGGATTCTCTGTCCCGCTGGCGGTGGCGCTGGTCTGACGGGCCCAGCTCCACTTCCGAACATCTTGGCTGGATGCGGGGCCAAGTTGGGCGGCTTCTGGCCACTAAACGGGGTCGGCATGGCATTGGGAACTGTTGGAGCCACGCCGCTGGCCGCCAACAAGCTGTTGGCATCGCTGAATTGCGGAGGACCCGTTGGCGCCGTAGCCACGCCCCTGTAGTCCTTCTGGGCCAGCGGCGGGAACTGTTGCTGGGGCGGTGGTGCGACGCTAGCACCTCCATTCGTCCGGTTGGGATTCAAATTCAGATTTTCCAGATTGCTCGACAAGTTGGCCAGGGATGCTCGCCGGTTGGGGTGAAGGTCGCAGTCCTGACGCCGCTGGCGGATGGTTTAGCGCTGCGCCGATTGGTCCCTGGGCATACTGAGGAGCCAATCCAGCTGGCCTGGGCGAGGCAGTGCGTGAGGAGTTGGCGCTAGACGCCCCATTGCTGCCGTTGGTGAGCGGTGGCCCGTTGACGGTGGGCGGACGCATGTGGGGAGGCAGCGTGTTGGGCGGCAGTTGCTGCACAGGAGGAGCTGCTGCCGACGTGGGCGGCAGGAACTGGCTCGCAATGCCGCTGTTGAACTGCGGCGGCGGTGGCAGGTTGCCCGGTGCTCCTGCTCCCTGATAACCTGCTGCTGCCGGAGGAGGAGGCTGCTGGAACTGTTGTTGTGGCTGCTTCTGCGGCAGATACTGCGGGCCTGGCTGGCCATTCACCGGATTGTTGCCGTTCAGGGGCATGGGAGCGTGGGCGGGAGGCACGAAGTTCGGATTGTAGGCCGACATGCTGCTAATTCATAAGTTCGAGGTCTGAAAGATGGAGAATTAAGTTTCGTTTAGTTGCTATCTTATCACACGCGAAGGCTGCGTTGCTGCCGAACATGCCGACACGAAATTAGGTATTATCTTATCGTTCAATGCCAAAATGCGGGTTACATGAGCGATTCTAAAGTTGGGTGCACATTATCCTTATTCTATGCAGTGATATCTGGTTGAATGGAATGTGAAACTGTGCTATTACGGCTTTATTTTCAAGCCATGAGCTTGGCTGTCTGCGTTGGTAAATGTTTACAGAAGTGTGTCTACGTCAACAGTAACTCGGAAATAGGCTGGTAATTGTATCACATTCGGCTGTTTAAACAACACAGCATTTGGGGTATTATGTGATGTACGGTGTGTGTGTGTGTGGCCCAAGCACTTGACCTCGTCGTCAGCGATCGCTGGAAGGCGGGTCAATGTGGCTGGTGACCCAGTTCAGCAGGGCTCGACTGCAAGCGCAAGCAGGAAGGAACCGAATTGAGTTCGAAACAAAGCGAATTTTTGATGACGTGCCTATTGGCAAAGTCAACCCGCCACGCCCACCGCCCCACCGCCTCACCACCCACTCAATATAATTGGGGGCAATCAGGGCGAATCGAATGGTGTGTCCATATCATGGTTACCAGTCACTTATCACCTTTCCGAGCTTCAGTTTCCAGTGGCATGTAGTTTCTCGACCAGCACTTGCACTTTGTAGTTGCCTCTTCTTCTTGCGCCCTTGATTGGCGATTTTGCTGCTGGCTGCGAATTGGCTTTTCCGCTCTTAATTCCGTGGAAAAGACCGCGGGAGTTGTGGAATACTCTGGCTGGGCACTTCACAGTGGGATGTGGGTGAATCCTGACCTGGTTTTTCCTCCGCCAAGGCGAATTAAGCGATTTTCACGGCACTGCCCTACGCTCTCTGCACTCTTTGTAAAACTTCCTTCCGCACTTTTCTCTTCCTCTCGCGATTTCTGGCGACTTCTGGCGCTCCCCGCGTGCTCCGGATGGATGCGGACACGTCCTGGACTGGCAGGCGGATTCCGTGGACTTGACGTCGATCTGCTAAGCACAAATTAACTTAACAAATGCAAACTTTTTGCATTTTTTCCTATTCCGACTAACAATTTTGAGTAGAGCTGGCAAACTATCGATGGCACTATCGATAACGCAGCCAATTGAAATATTCTATTTAAACACATATAATTGGAAATAACAAAAATAAGTGGATTACCAAGTTTAATAACTAATTTGATCTCAAAATATAGCGGCTGGACCGCTACTAACGCTACTTTACAAGGTTTTTATTTACTTGCTATAAATATTTATAAAAATTTTAATTTATTAAAACTGGCATTATATTTATAAAGAATACCTTTATTAATTTAGCTATTTTCAAAGGATATTACCATATGTATTAACCAATTTGTTTAATTCGATACTATTGATCGTTTCCGAAAGAAACCTGGACAGAGACACTATCGAAGGTTTTCCAGCTCTGATTTTGAGGGCCACGTATATCGATACTACCACCCCTAAATCAAAGATCCTAAAAGTCCACCCCTAAGTCGCAGAAATTAGTGTGACCGTGCTTTTTAAAACGGAGATGACACTTCGCCTATCGGCCTGAATTTTGCATATCGATAAGAAATCCATTTCGATTGTCACGAAATCCGTTACAATTCAAACCGGAAAAGAAACGGACATTTTCAAAGGAACTATTTTAGGGTGGGACTTATATCTTACTGAAAACTTATTAGATGATAGAAAACTTTTGAACTCTCAAGTTTGAGCAAAGGAATAACACATCGACTGCTGTAAGAACAAATTGCTTTATTTGCTATAATCGTATCCGATACAATCTGTTTGGGTATGTTTCTATTTCTTGTTTAACACGTTGGTTAAAAGGAAATCGAAAAAATATATACAGGTTCTGTGCACCCGGGCGTGGATACGGGTTCCAATCGATGCCCTCGGGATTGCTATTTGTTTACTCTACAGGTTAACTAGTCTGTTAAATATTACTTTAAATAAATATCCAAGCGTATTTACTTTATTCGTTTCATTTTGCGTTAACTTTGCGTGAGAGTATTCGGTAGCTTTGCTGTGTGGGTGGTGTTGGCTTTCTGGCTCGAAGGTTCAAAATTTAAGTTTATTTTTGAATGTCTCAAGTGGTGTGGGTTTCGTTTGGGTTTTATTACAGTAGAGTGTATATGTGTTTGAGGGAGTGTTTGCAGCGGACTGTTAGTAAAGCTTTATTCATTGCGACAAGTGGAATTCGAAACATAATACTAGAGGTAATCGTATAATAGTAATTGATTTAAAAATTATGCGACTGGAAAATCATTGTGCACCGTGTTCTATATGTCTGTATGTCTGTTGGGGTCTTGGAAACAAGCGTATAGGCCGTATCCGTCAGATACTAGCGTGTCGGTATTGTATTTCGTCTATAGCAGAGTCTTTTATTTCAAAAATAGAATTTCTATCCTTAAATATCTATCATTTCGTAATCTACAACTTTTGATATATCCCACTATTAACTGGTTTTCCTTCTTTGTTGCTAGTTAGTAAATGTTTGTTATGTAAAAGGTATTGAATAGGTGTTCTTGTGTTGCAGTTTACTGCGATTGCCTTTGAAACACACTAGTACTTAGTAGTAAATAATAATCGTTAATTATGTGTAGAAACTGTGAGTGATATTTGTCTTGTCTGTCTCCGCTGAGCTGTCGAGCTTGACTCGCGTTGCAACCTTATGAGCAGAGCGTTCCTTCTGTTTCGCCGCCTGGATATTCGTGTATAGTATTTACAATTAATACCCAGACCCTGGAGGCCCCCTCTCCTATTCCTTTCCTGCATTCGTTACGTTGTATCGTCAGAGTCCAGAGGTTTGCGCACTTGTGGAATTAAACATATAGTTGAGGCTCGTTCTTGATATGATCCATATATATAGACGTTGTTTTTGGTGTTGTCAGTCGCTGGCATTATCTCTTGGCCTCCCGCTCCTGCAGATACATGCGCTGACTCAGCGGCTTGGCGTAGATCCAGTTATCGCCCACGGGCTTGAAGTGCTGGGGGGGAACATTATCAGTCGGCTGACTCATACATATCATACTGAATTAGCTCACCTTGTGCTCCCAGGCCAGGTCGTACTCCTTGCGCACCTTCGCCTGCTCACGCTGCTGCTGCTCCACCACATACTTGGCCGTGGTGGCTCGCTCGATGTCGTTGAACCTGCGGGAGAGCAACGAACCAATTGATCAGATTATTAGGCTTCGCATTCGGGGGTCAGAGATTAATTGGCAGATTGGTGAGCTGTTTACTTGAGTCCCGCCGTCACTTCCTTCCAAACGCGTCGCGACTCGTACTGATCCTGCTCAACGATTGGTCGAACTTGTTTCTTAAATATGGGTATGCGATTTACGTCGACGAATACTTCGGTTTTCTAGAAAATTCAAGAGATTCATTCAGGTTCACTAGGCGGTCAAACTGATTGGCAGTTGGTCTAATACTGAATACACAACAATCATCACAATTACTAGTACGGATAGCAACAATTTGAAACACACAACTTTGGACAGACAGGCAGGGGAGTAGAGTAGTAGTTGGTAGGTTCGATTTTCTAGACAAACAAAGTAAACACACAGAGGAAATGCTCCCGAGCTATTTAAGAGAGAAGCAGAAGAATCGTGGATAGTAAGTAGAGGTAGAGGTGGGTGTGGTGTGGTGGGTGGATGTGGCTGCCAACTCGTGGGGTTGTTTGTTGCAGCGGTTATGCGTAGGAAAAAGAACACGAAAGGGTTCAACATTTACGGTAATAATATATAGAACACAATCTACGTATATATAGCAATTATAGCTTGAACTTACGTTTTTATCGTGCCACTTGGCCTCCATTAAACCACTCCACTCGCCGGCAATCGAGACAAAAGGCTTCTTCTCGCTGGGAGCATAAACCTGAAAGACCCCTTAAGTTAATATCCAAATCGAGGATTACTTCAAAAGCTAGTCACCTCGGCAGAGACCCTATTGCGCTTTCCGCCATAGAAGGGCTTCGTGAGGAACTCCACGTTGGCATAGTATCCCGACTGTGGGCACTTGATCTCCACCGAGCCGCCGAGCTCAATCCAAGGCACCGTTAAAATAGACCTAAATGGGAGAATTTATCATTTAAATAAATACCGAAATACATGAAGTCAATCCTTACCTGCCGTATCCGTTGGGGAAGGTCACTATGTACTCCTCGCTTCGATCCACCAGGGTCACAACGCCCTCGCCGATGTTGTGAACTCCAATTGAGAGGCCCAAGAACTTCGACTTGGTCCATACATGGGCCGCAAACGTGATTTTCTTATTGTAATGCTCCGCATAGAAGGCAGAAACTGCAATAAATAAATATATCAATTAGAGCCCTGCGTGAATCATTCAATTTTTATTTTAACATAGTATGCCGTGAAACTTCGGATTTGTTTAATTCAATTCTATGTGAAATAAATTGAATTAAATGAATGAATGAATCATTTTTATGTATTTTTTTAATTGCCTTTCTTTTGAGAACAAAACGTGAACAATTTTTAACAAATCAATATTAACTGCTTAGTAAATAAAATTTAGAATTTAATATTTAATTCTATTAAACTCAAAATTTAAATTCATTTAATTCTATTAAACTCAAAAATCTAATTAATTCATTCATATAAAACCGAAAATTCAAAATAATTCATTGAATCCATTCATGCAGGGCTCTAATATCAATAAATTACAAAAGGGGTTTTCTTGTTTTCATTACTTGGCGGATGGTGCGACACCTGCTCAGCCAAAAAGGTGAGCTGATCCCTCCGGCACCAAGGCACTGGGCCGTCGCGCACCTCCTGGGCATCTTGGGATTCCCCTGAAATGTTGAAAGAGACTTGTAAGTGGTGCTCATAAAACGTTCACTATGCATTGCTCACCAGGAATGTCCCAATGGCACTGAAAGACTTCGCCCAAAATGGGATTATAGGGCTTCTTGGCTACTGCACTTTTGCGTCCCGCATGGTAAGCACTCATATACCAGCGACAAACCTGGACGATTCTGTCGCGCGGATCATCGAGATCCGCTATTCTGTTATAGAGGATACTTGATAAGTTATATTCACCATAGTATTTAGTAGAAGCATACTTTAAAAACAGATCGGGATGGGCAAAATAATCGGCGTACATCTCCAGCAGCGAGCGGCGCTCTAGGATAAACGTGGGCAGCACCACTTTGGTGAGGTCCATGCCGATCTTAACCTGCGACAGCAGGTGCGTGATCATCGAGCCGTGCGCCTCCATGCTGAGGTCCGTCTCCTCCTCCTCCTCATACAAGGCGTCGTAGTCTATTCCATTGTCGTAGCTGGCACTTCGGGAACTGGCCGCTGTCCTGGGCGTCTTAGCGCTGGTGTCCGCATCGGCCACGCTCTCATCGATCTCCGGCAGCGGTTGGGGGGCAACTGATTCGCCCAGAGGCACTGGCTCGGCGTTGGCGAAGCCATCCGGAACCTTCTCGTGGGTGGGCGATGTGGTTTCCGAGAAGCCGCGAGTGGCGCTGTTGTGAAATGGGGAAACGAGAGTGAAATCAGGACTTGTTGATTAGGATTCCTGCGGCGTCTGGGCATAAGTAATGGGCTGACATAAATCCTGCGGCGTGATGTCAGCGTGTGCGTGTGCGTCACTGGGACCAGCAGCCTCTGCGGCCCGCATCATCCTCCTTTTTTCGATCTCTGTTGCTTGCCTCATTTACAATTTATGAGGGAAACACTTGCGACGACCTGGCGCACATATACATAATACAGTGTGCGAGGTACATCCTCACCTCAGGCTCACGCGTCGGACCCACTTCTTGAACATGGCGTGGGATGGTGATGGCCCGATTCCTCACTGCACTCCCAGCACCGCCATAGTTTCGCTCTTGAAGCGGAAGCTCTCGAATCTAAGCCTAGACAAAGCCTAGGCCATTACTGGAAAACGGAATAACTACTGAAAAATCCAACTGGGGAGCTTGCACCCAAAGGAGCGCTTCGACACTGCGAGCCGATGACGAACGAAACTACAACTGACAGACATACACAATGGCGACTTTAACTACGACTGGGCCGAAGGATGTCGATGACGAAGCAAGGCGCCGACGACGACGAAGCCGTGTCAGCTGTGCCAGCAAAGCACCGATGGGGGAGAAGGTCCTGTATTTATTATTTACACGCGACTTGGCCGAAATTACGGACTGCCCCGAAATTGCGACTGCGACGAACTTCGGGCAATGCATTTTGCATGCGCTGCTCAGGCGCATGCGCCTGTTTAAAGGACCAGGAGGAGGAGATGCAGACTGGAGGGCAGCAAATGCGTAATTTTAGCACACATCACACATTACACAGCACGCTTGCCGGTTGCCGCATCGCAACTGATTGATGGCCAGTCGGCATACTTTGTCAAGTGGCACGCTTTTGATGCTACTTGTAAGACCTGCAAGTGGTCCACTCACCAGCCAATCGGGGAGCTGCCAAGGCTGGTGAAGGGATCGTCGTAGGCATCGTAGAAGTCCTCCTCGCCCTCGCTGCTTGAGTAGGAGGTCTCCGGCACAACCAGACCGAGAGGAGCGGTGGTGGCTGTCAAAATGAATGCAAGATGCAGGATTAGTAAATAGAAATAGAATTCGATTAGCCGCTTGACCCTGGCTTGATTACCAGTTGCACTCACCGTTCTCAGTGGCCGAGTCGTCCTCGTCGTCGCCCAGCTCTCCCTTGGCGCCCAGTTGGCCCTCCAGGGGCACCTTTAGGCCACCCGCCTGGACGTTGTTGCTGCTCCCAGCAGCTCCGCTGGCCGAGGAACTGGTCGAGGCAGTGGCCGGTGGGCCGTTGTAGATTCCATTGATGGGGTGGGCCATGTTCTTGGCAATCTGCAGGCTGACAATCGAGTGCTTGATGTGATCCAGCATGGCCTGAAACAAGAACGTACGATTAGCCAAGCGGGAGTGGTGATATGGCCTCGACAAAGTTTGCCAAGGAAGTGAGCAGCTGCCGGCCGAGTGGCATTCTCTCACGCCTTTGCATCTGGCCGACTGCTAACCCTGAACTTGCATTGGAAATCGATACGAGTGGGCGGCGGGGTAGGCCTGGCATTTCGATTCGCCAGGCAAACTCTGCTGCAAATTCGACTCCCAAAATTCCTAGCTAATCCGGCGATTCGATTTACATTCAACGACTAAAATGGAGTTCCTTGATCCTGCACTCCACAGCATCGACGAGGTGTATGCTCAATTTAAAGAGTACCAAAAGAAGCGTCAGGAGCAGCAGATGGAGCTGGAAAACAAGCTGAAGACCCGGTTTGATTTGGATGCCGATTTCAGGGAGCTCAACGCCCAGATGGAAAAACTAAATGCGGGGCTGGACGAGCTGGATGAGCGGCAAAAGCGTCAGTTGCGTCAAAGAAAAACAATGCTACAATGCTTAGATGTGATTGAGCCTGCACCACAGGATGAAGCTGTTTGCTCTTTACAGGAAGAAGATCCCGAACCGAAACAACTGCTGATTAAATGCGGCGTGAGCAAGTGCCTCTTTGAAGATTGCCAAAGACGTGTGAACAGCCAGCTGCTTTTGCTGCACTACCTCTGTGATCATAACCACAAGGATGCTTCCTTCCAGCGCTCCCTTCCGCTGTTGGAGGGCGAACGGACTATGCTCTCCCTCCAGCCGAAGACCTGTGAGTTTCGGGTTAACAAGGTGTTGGGACTACTGGCTTACAGGGGTCAGCTAAATCAGCAGCGGCCTCGGGAGATCCCGGTGGTGGTGTTAATTTGTCGGACAGCCGCTCATGCATCTATGATGCGGTCACTGGATAGCCAGAGGCAAGACGTCTTCGTCCTCTGGCTGGTCACTCCCAGTGACCGGCAACAGTTGAACGCCACGCTCCGTCTCTGCGGAAGAGATGCTGCTGCAAGGGCCGACTGCGTGGTGGGTGTTCAAAGGGTAATTCACAGCCAGGACGCGGACCATTTCATGACTGTCGACGAGAACTACTGGCAACTGACGTACGCCGAAGTGGAGAAACTCTCAAACAATTTCCGGGACGAGCTGCACCTCGAGGTGTCGCTCACAGAGGCGAAGGCTTCATAACCACTTGCTACTCACACTGGCGTTGTCCTGCAGGGCCTTGCACTTGGACTGCTCGGCCGGATCGGTCAGCTCCGCGATGCGTTTGTCCAGCAACTGAGTGGAGCAGAGAGAAAGCGACAGTAAATTGCATAATGCCCTGCATTACGTGGCACAATACTCACGCTCGTCTGTTCAATCATCAGCTGGAGGTAGGCATCCGCCTCGGAAACGCGGCGCGCCACCAGCTCCAGGTGGTTGGGTCGTCGGCCGCCCACTACGGCTCCGCCCACTTCCCTCGTGTAGCCGCCGGCGTTGTAGAAGGCGCTCTGGCTGTCCCACAGACGCGACCGGTTCGCGTGGCGTCGAATGGTGTCCTCCAGGCGGCGCACCCACTGCTCCCGCTCCTCGCTGTGCCGCGCCTGCAAACGGTTGGAAAGTTGGCAGGCTTAGTAGGCTCCTTTGGTGGTGTGTGCGGGTATTGGGAAAAGTTTTATCGTTACATCAAGGCAACAAAGTCAAACAAAAGGAAGAACGTGAGGGCCAGACAGAGGTTTCTAGGTCGCTGTCCAGATACCCTTTTTCCTGGCTTTTGTGCAGAGCTCTGCCTGCCCAGATAGCATGTCTTCTACTGCGACGGCGTAAATTGGAAAAACAAAACATGTGCTTGCCCTTTCGATCCAATTGTTGCTTACGTATCACTGTCAAGTCTAGTTTGGAATTTAGTATTGTTGAGTTCATTAAGCCTGTGGCGTTGAATTTGAACTATTAGCATAATTTCTGTGCCATTCTTTTAAAGAGGCATATTATTAATACTTAAGTTTTATCAATAGATATAGGATTTTAGGTGAAATCGTTTTTATAAATACTTTTTTAAAGTTTTTGTAAAAAAAATGTTAACCAATCAAATGTGGCTTTAAATCATATTTAAAAAAAAAAACGTTTTCACCTAAAATCTATGTATCAATAATAATATTAATCCTTCTTAAATAAGTTAATGAATAATTCTGGGAAAATTTTATTGGGGGCTTATATTATAACAAGTGGATGACTGAGAATAACTTGCCTGAAAGTGGAAGGTTTTGTGATCCACGGTGATCGTGAACGTGTTATCCTCCTGGTCGTCGATCCCGATTAGCGCATCCTTCAAGCGCACACAGCCGCGCCTCACCCCCTTCATCATCTTCTCCTTCGACTGAAAAACAAATGCAGTTGGAACTAGGTAAGCTCATTAAAGAACGGGTGCTGCTGTCAAAGGGCTATTACGCGTGCTACAAAGTAATGAATTCAAATCAATGCCTGGAGGGGAATAAAAGCAGTGATCGGCGAACTGTTCGCGCTTAAATGTGTGCCTACGGCTCGAGGCAATAGAGCAGCAGTCCTCCAGAACCCCGCGAGCTTAAGGATCCGGACAGGGAAAATCCAACGCACAGGAGCACAATGGAGGCGTCAACAAGTGAGCTTCTGCGCGGAATTGAAGGAGATTGATCCATGTCTCCAATCGAATTGCAGGTGCAAGTCTGCAGCCGCTGGTGGAGGTCCCTGCGCTGTACAAGGATCCCTGGTACATGATCACCATTCTGCTCGTCTATCTGTACTTTGTCACGAAAGCGGGTCCGCAGTAAGTCCAAATGCTAATGCAACGTTCTCGTTTGCATGCGGGTCACTGGTCTCGGCATTACCAATTCAATGTGGTCCACTTACGTAAGAAGAATACCTTCGATCCATCGCTTACAGTTTTATGGAGACTCGCAAGCCCTACGAGCTCAAGAAGCTGATCTTGGTGCATAACGTGATTCAGGTGGTGTCCTGCATATACGTAATCAAAGAGGTGGGTAGCTACAGTCTGCAGAAGTGACAGCGGCTAATGGATTCGCTCTGGATTCGTAGGTCCTGTTCATCACGGACAATGCCATATACTTCTTCTGGAGGTGCCGCGACCTGGGGAGCAGTCCGGAGCACGTGCGCCGCTACTACAGCCTGGCCTACTTCCTCTTCTGGCTGAAGCTCTCCGAGCTGCTGGAGACGGTGATCTTTGTGCTGCGCAAGAAGCAGAACCAGGTGTCCAAGCTGCACATCTTCCACCACTTCTCCACGCTGACGCTGGTGTACGTTCTGATCAACATGAACAGGAATGGTGAGCTCTGTGCCGCTCTGTCCGATGCATTACTAAAGTTTTCCCTGCTCCACAGGCACCGCTGCTTACTTCTGCGTGTTCCTCAACTCAATCGTCCACGTCATTATGTACTCGTACTACTTTGTGGCCGCCGTGGCGGACAAGAGCGTGGTGGAGGCCCTGACGCCCGTGAAGAAGTCCATTACGGTGATCCAGATGACGCAGTTCGCCCTCATCCTGACCCAGGTTCCCTGCCAGCTCGTCTCCTGCGGCATGCCGCCCGCCGTGCTCCTCTACTTCACCGGCGTCATCGTGGGCATGTTCTACGGCTTCTACGACTTCTACAACAGCGCCTACCAGGTGGCGCAGCGCCGCAAGAGTCAGACGCCCCAGCCGGACTCCAAACAGTGATCGCATGCCCACAAATCGCGCAATAAAAGTGCACCAACAAGTGTGTGCGTGTATCCGAATGTATCTATCGCAGATAAGATAAGGCCACCTGGGGAAGCGCTTCTGGGTGCGATATGGGGGTTAGTCAGGAGGTCCACTGCAGACACTCACCGTGTAGTAGGACAGCAGGCCAGCGTTCTCGTCCAGCACAAAGAAGCGGTACTGCCAGCCCTTCATCACGTTGGTCCACTTGCTCAAGGTGCCCTCCAGTGTGCCGGATCCAGATCCAGCAGCTCCGATTGGGGCACTGGGGGGTCCCAGGCTGGGAGCACTTCCAGTGGTGCTGGTCATGTCGGCCAGCCCCCGTGACTCGGCCAGTGCCTCCACCTCCTCCTCCGATCCCTAGTCGTCCTCGTCGCCGAGAGCGTTCCGTGTCGCCGGGCCTGCGCCTGCCTTGTTCCCCGATCGCTTTTCTGGCCAGGAGTTGGTGATGACGCAATGCTGGTCCGCGACTCGCACCCGCAATCTGTCACAGCCTCAGCTCTCCGCTTGGATTTTGCAAAACAAAGCAAAGCCCTGCGAACTATCGATGTGCGTAAACATCGATGATTTTCAAGCCATCCGGGAAAGTAGTGTGACCGCGCCGTGAGCGCTCAAATATATCACACTGGGACTTGTGAACAATTTGGTCACATTAGATTTTTCGAAAATTGTACCTAAACGCAATTATTTACGGTGGACACTATTTCGGTCCGGCAGTTAAGCTATAACTCCGTTATTATTTAACTTTTTCATATTTTTTAAATGTAGTCAAGGGAGAAATGAGCCTTGACTTAAATAGCCATTCCTCATCTAACTTTAAAACCAGAATTAACGCATAAGGCATATGTATTATTTTCGCTATACACAACTTATTTGTGGGCGTTAGAGTAGGCGTGCCAAATTTTTTTTGAGTCACTTAAAATCAAGCTTCAAAACTCGAAGCGCCACATTTTTTCGGAGTTTGTAGGCGTTAGAGTGGGCGTGCACTGTAAACTTGCACTGTATGGGAAGCTGAAAAATCTAAATCTAAAACCGCAACTCTCTATCTCTTAAAGTTTCCGAAATCTCAGTATTCACGCGGACAGACAGACGGACATGGCTAGATCGACTTGGCTTGTGATCCTGATCAAAAATAATATACTTTATAGGGGCGGAATCACTTCCTTTCACCTGTAACATACCTTTCCATTAATAGACCCTTTCACTCTAATATTAACGGGTATAATAAGAAATGTCATTCACTTAAATTTCCTGAAATCCGAGTGCTATAATGAGTCCCCTTCAAACGCGACTCCGTACATAAACCAATGTTTTATTCGCTGCCTTTCAAAACAAATGAATTACGTTTCTAATCAACAGCACCGGGTAAAACTAGAAGACTTAGTTCCTAAAAAACATAACAACTACGGCTTGGGGCAGGGCACATCTTTTGGTCTCCAGCACTTAACTAAGCGTCGCATCGGGACGGATTCTATCCCGCGAAGAAGCACCTATAGAGCATGTAAAGAATGCCGAATATCCAGATACCCTTGTAGACCTTGTCCACCACCCACATCCTAAGGAAAAAAGAGATCATGGTCAGTACTCCATTGGGAGAGTATCAAATCCCCGGTACTTACACCTTCATGTGCCTCCTGGCCGCCGGAATGGATTCGTCCGACTCCTTGAGGATCAGGCGGCGGGCGCAGAGGACGCAGTTGGTGAAGTAGTCGATCAGGTCCAGCTCTATTTTCTCGATCACGTAGGTGCGCCGCTCCTTGTTGTTCATCAGCTTGCGCAGCTTCACCGCCTCCGAGTTGTCAAAGTTCCAAACATTATTGGCGTAGTACTCGAAGACCTCGAAGCCCTTGAAGATGCGGTTCTGGACGCGGCACAATACCGGCGGATAGCGAAGCAGCCAGAGCAGGGCGTCCACGAAGAGGGCCGGCATCCACTGGAAGAGCACCATGCAGATGAAGTGAACCCAGTAGTTGGACTTCATCGAGCCCCCCGGATACCAGGCGACGCCATTCAGCGGCACCTTGTTCTCGATCACCCAGCGACCCAGCTCGATGATCTCCGCCCAGGACACCTTGATGTCGTTGGAGGACGTCATGTGCGCCACCCGATTGGTGGTGTCCGTGCCCGCGGTGATGTTCCTCCAGCTGGCCACCAGGATGCCGTTCACAGCCACGTCCACGGGCAGGAAATCGCCGTAGCCAGAGGAATTGCAGTACATGGTCCGGATGACTCCCTTTCCCGCTCCGATAAGCAGACCCGTGGGCCCGTTGATGTTGTCCGTCCAGCCGGGAATGGGCTCCTTCCAGATGGGGATCACGATCGAGGGTCGCAGGATCACGGCGGGCAGCTGGTCGAACTTCTCCACCACCAGGGCCTCGGCCAGGGACTTGGTGTAGGCGTACGTGTTGGGGATGTCGCCGAGCACCTTGCGCTCGATGGTGGCCACCTCGTCGTCCGTCAGCCACTCGCAGGCCTGCATCACCTTGTGCGGATCTGCCGGCGGGTCGTAGGGCTTCTCGTACAGCGTCTTCACGTGCAGGTGGCAGTAGGCCGTCGAGCAGTAGGCGAAGAAGTCCAGGTGCTTCAGGGTCTGGGCCAGCGCCAGCATGTACTTGGTGCCGCGGGTGTTCATGAACACGGCATTCCGGAGCGGCTCATCAAAGCTGGGGAGGATTAAGAAGGAAGGTTAGTGATGGACAAGGTCAATGGGGTAGTAGTAGTAACGTTTAAATCCGGATCCAGGACTTTCCATACTTTTTGAATACCAAATTTCCTTAAATATATCGGCCAAGTTGGATTAAATTAAAATATGGGATTTATCTTTTAATTTACCACAAGACTTCTTTACACCTCAGTAGGAATTTTTCAAATGGAATTTCTTATGTTTCAAGTTTGTTATCATAGTCTGTTGTTATTCCGATGAAATTATTTTAAAAGTGTTAGCTTGGTCTAACAAAATTGTTGTACGCAAATTTACATTTCCTGTTTTATTCTGTTAAAATATTTCCTAAATTGTTGCAATATCTAACAAAATGAAAAACAAACAATAATTTTGAAATATAAAAAAAAAAAAAGGAAAATGGAATCTATTCCATCTCAAATTTTCAGGTACCGTAAATAACAGTTATTTGAGACTTGTTCAATTTTTTACCAACAATTTTTCTGGTTTTTATGCACTTTATAGACATGGAAAATAACAGTTAATTTGCTTACCAGATTTGTTGAAATGCATATGCTTTGTGGACAAGAGTAAAAAGAGTGTTATTTTTGACATTTAAAAATAAAATATCACAGTAGTCTTTTTAAAATAAAAGTCTCAAATGACTGTTATTTACGGTCCCTGCAAATTTTGAAATTTGTATGAAAAATTCGATTTCGTGTCACATTATAAAACTGAACTGTAAAGAGGCCTTAAAGGTTCAATATTGTTTCGGATAATATTAAACTTAAATTAAAAAGTATTTTAAGACCGCTTATTTTGCTCAGTCGAATGCTACATTATATGCCCTATTTCCCTCTTTTGAACGTAATATTGTATAATCCAAAAATGTTTTCCTAAACACTTACCGCACTGTGGCTGCACAATGGTACACAATGGACACCTCCTCGCGCAGCGTTTCCAGATCCTCCTCAGAGATTCCCAGACCAGGCAACAGGACATCGCCGGCTATGGCCACCACTTGCTGCAGGATGTGCTCCTCGCCACGAAGCTGCTTCACCTGGTCGAAGAGCTGCACACACACCCCGCCCACGTTAGTTGATTAATTTCGTAAGCCGCAATGAGTAAGGCAATGAATTCTCATACATAGTTTTCATAATTCCCACCCCGCTTACCACATTCTGGAATATATCCTTGATGCGCTCCTGCGGATCCTTGCCCTTCTTGGGGCGGATGAGCAGATAAATGCGCTTGAGGCCGCCACACGACCTGCAGGAATTAATAATATTGCATAAGCCGAGGCGGAAATTGGGATTAATGGGGCCACGTTCGGACCAGCTGCCCGCCCACTCTGTGGAACCACCCACTTACCGCAGCAACTTCTCGACCAGCACCTTGCCCAGGAACCCAGTGCCTCCTGTGATGAACAGACTGCGTCCCTTTGAAGCACTCCGCAATGCGGTCCACCTCGTTGTCGTCCACTTCCCCTATGGTGGCCAGGTCATCCTTCTCATAAACGAACTTCGGTTTGGCGGCCATCTCAGATAGCTTCAGTCACCTAGGAAATATAAACCTTCTTTATAAAATAAATGTTTTATTCGCTGATTTTGAGTCTTATAGGAATAATCTCTTCATATGTACACAAAGAAAATTTCTCAAGAAGACTGACGTTCTCAAATTAAGTATTTGTATTCTCAATTTGAGGAAATACTGATTTTGTGGACAAATTTTGAAAAAAGAAGCCTATTTTATTCACCATGTTGTTTCTCTCTTATTTGTCTCTAAAAATCTCTTAATAGTCTCAATTCCAAGGCATTTTATTTAAAAAATTGGTACTGAAAGTGAGTATTTTGTACTTAAAGTGAGTACTTGGTTTTATTTTGAGTAGAAAATTCTCAATTTAAGTGCACCGTTCATTAAAAATTCTCTCTGTGTACCGTTATATTTTCGATCTTACTGAACCCATGGATATACTTTAGCTAATCGAGACGAACTACCTTTCCCGTTAACACTTAAATTTTGGTTCCCTTACGCAATAACTATTATTTTATCAGTAAAATATGATCTCTAAAAACGGAGTTGACATTGTTGGCGATTTTCTTGGGGCACTTATGGAGCTATGGGCACGTAATGGCCGTCGCCGCCAAGTGCACTTTTAATTTCATTTGATCTTGGCTGTAAAGTGGTCGCAGTGGCCACATGTGAGTATGAGGCAACCAACCAGTTAGCCGGCGGAGCGACAATTGCAGATTAGGCCACGTTTGGCTGACCAGTGGCCACTGGCCACATAACTGGCTGGCTGGGTTTCATTTTCGCACTCGGTTTCTGAGTGTCAACGCAGTGACCATCGAGTGGGCAAGCGGAGCGACACCGATTCGGCGTTACGGCACCAATTAAGAGATTGCCACATCCATGTCCATGTCGCATGCCCCACGATTCGCACCATGAGCTTGCCGTGGGCGGCGGAGCATGCCCAGAGTTGGAGCGCCTTGTGTCCTTCATCCGCCGTCGACTTAAACTTGATCGAAAGCCGTTGGTCCGCTGACACATTGACCCGCATTCGACGCATACATGGTTATTAGATATTAGACGGCGGACGGACTTGGACCCCGCTTAACAAGCTGGACTACCTATAATCTTCTGGTTGGCGGAGCAGAGCAGCAATGAGTTGGGGTTGGGGTGACAAGTGAAACTGAAGCCATAACGAGAAGGGAAGTTAGCCTCATCAAGACGAAGTTTAGATACCCTTGTGGATATAACATTCATATAGTACCCATTGGCTGATGTAGGATTTTGTTGTGGGGGTGATATATCACCCTCGTGGATCCGCGAACCAGTTTCAAAAACTAGTTTAATTGTGAAATCCTATAAATCGACTATATTATGAGGCTTTCGCAGCTATGCGTGTCTAAAAAAACTACGTTTATTATTGAAATAAATTTACAAAGTATTCTAAACATGATTCTGTACGAATTTTGGTTCACATAATAGTTATACCCGTTACTCGTAGAGTAAAAGGGTATACTAGATTCGTGCAAAAGTATGTAACAGCTAGAAGGAAGCGTTTCCGACCCCATAAAGTATATATATTCTTGATCAGGGTCACTAGCCGAGTCGATCTAGCCATGTCCGTCTGTCCGTCTGTCCGTCTGTCCGTCTGTCCGTCTGTCCGTCTGTCCGTCTGTATGAACGCTGAGATCTCAGAAACTACAAAAAAGTGAGATTTCCCACACATATTCTTTGGCTTCCTACGCAACGCAAGTTTATTTTAGCCGAGCGCCAGCCCCCTCTAACGCCCACAATCGCCCACTAACGATTTTAAAATGGGTCCTGCGCCCACATCTTTAAAGATTTCCGAGAAGTATAAATGCAATTTTGTTGTGTATATTTATACCTATCGAAATGTAGAAGACATTTTCAAATCGGACCATTCATTAAAAAGTTATACGCAATCAAAAATTATATCATTATCTCCCTCGCACTCCCTTTAGCTGAGTAACGATTATTAGTCGGGACACCAACCCGACACAGCGTTCGCACTCCCTTTAGCTGAGTGACGGGTATTAGATAGTCGGGACAACAACCCGACTATAGCGTTCTCTCTTGTTTTTCCTAAATTCAACAATTATATTTAAACTTTGAAAAATGTAGAATTTTTATCACTGATAAAATTAAAGGCTTTTTAACTACTAACCGATTATTTGCATTTTTATTTAAAAATCGAAAATCCTAACTGGAATGTAGATTTTTCGATCATTTCAATACAAACACCACTTTAAATAGTTATAAGATTATGGTTTGAACTATAAGGACATTCTAATTGGATATAAAGAGATACAGATTTACTGTTTTGTATTTCCAACATCTGATTCCAATTATAATACCCCCTGTTAGGGTATAAGAACCGCATTACAAAGTGCCGCAAACACTAAAGTTTCAGTTTAATGGCGAATCCGAATGTCTTGGTCCCAAATTAAAAGCTTTAAATGACTCTAGCATTGGGCCTAGAATGGTTAGCCTGCGGCCAAGATCGCAACCATTAACAGTGTAGTTCATTGCTGATACCAAAGACTGCGGCAGCGAACGTGATTTTTGAAAGTGAAAAGGGCAGACGTGTGCCAACCCGGCCAAGAGATTGGATTGCCACACACAACCCGCTGACCCGCTAATCTCGGCCAGCACTGCTGTGCAACACCAGCTGGAGCTGAGCGGCAATTATTGCAATTTAAGATCTGCTCCGGGGGCAATCGAGCTGGCATCTAAGCGATCCAAAAACAAAAGCCATAAAACGATTCCCGGATAGTTAGATAGTAGCGCCACTTTTCGCCAGTCATGGGCTACTTGAGACTACAGACTACAGACTGCAATTTATAGCACTTGATACGGTGATTGCATGCTCGACGACAGCTGCACTTGCTGGGGAAGAATGTCCATGTTCCACGTCCAGGTGGCTGGCAGTTCCCAGTTTCCCAATTTGGAAATACCCGAAAAGTGCCTGGTGCTCCTTGGTCCGCTTGCATGTTGGCTTTTCTTCTGGGGACAACCAGTTTGGAGCACTCAGAGATGTCAACAATGCGATAATAAAATCAAGGAGTGTATGCAACGGGATGTGGTCACGATTTATTTGGTTGAGCAACAAATTCAAATACTCGACTAGACTACCAAGGACCCATTAAGTCTTTTACGTTAAACTCCATTAATATATTCAGAGGGCCTTGGACTTTGCTAACAAAATTGATTCGCATGCTAATTGCATTTATGCCACTAAAACAGTCTTCGATTTTAACTGGTGTTTAAATTAATCGTGTAAGTTTTATCGCACCTTCACTTGGCAACAACGGCAGACCCTTTCAACTAGATATTCGGATGCCTTGGCAGATTAAGCTTCAGCTTCAGCTTTAGATTCAGATTCAGAAACTGTTGACCCGCGCTCACCGAATGCTAAACACAAACTGATCACGAAAAGAGTCTCGCACTCCCAGCCAACCTAATAGAAAATAAAACGAAAACAACTTTGGGCCAAACTATGTATCGCATCGGCTAGTTTGGCGCACACACAGCTGCAGGTACTCCGAGATCTGGTAGCTACTAGCTAGTTTCCGAGCTGGCACACTGAGAAAAAGCAGCTCCATGTCAGGTCAAACTGATATTTACATTTCTCAAGCGGGTTTCTTGGGTTAACGTGTAGTACATGTATAATTGGAATGAACTCGGTATTAAAGTTTTGAAACTGTGAACTTCCTCCCAAGATAATGCGAACTTCAATCACAATGAATTTATTTAAATATTTAAATATATATGTACATTCAGATTTCTTAGTTTGAACTAATTAAATTCAAAGTTTCCGATTCGATTAAAGTTTAAATATTATAAAATATCATAATGATGGATCAGTTTTTTTCCTGTGCACAGAGACGACTCCGAATCCGAGAGAGACTCGATCTGCGACACACATAACCAGGCGAGGGGCTTCCCCCTGTGTCCCCCGTACCCCTCCTAACCCCTCTTAACCCACTAAAGCCAACGGTCAGGGGTTGAACTACTGTGCGCCGCTTTCTCACTTCGCTGCGCTCTAAGTAAACTATCGTCGCCCGTTTTACTTCACCTGTTTTACCTGCTCAGCAATCAATTTTGATGCGAGTGCATCCGCACTGCAGTCAGAAGTTGATGCAATCGCCTTTGGCCCGGCCAAACAATTCAATTTTCCGGCCAGCATCGCCTGCGTTGCGCATACGCCGTGTGCACCGCGCGCTTTAGGGAAATCAGGTAGCCCCCGCCATTAGTGCCAACGAACCAAATCGGTGGGTGGATCGGCGAAAAGCGGGTAGCTAAGTTTGCTTTATGGCACACATAAATCCCCATTGCTCCGGCCATTAATTAGGCGGACCTGGTTAGTTACAGTTGTTGGCCAAAAGCGCTCAAACCGAAACAGAAAAAGACACAAAAAGTGAGCAGAAACGAGTAGCAGCCACAATTTGACAACGGCATTGACATCGAATCAGCGCCGCAGCATCTTTTATTGGCTTTATTTTCAGCCAGGGCTGCAGCTAATCGGACTAATCAAAGTGGCCAAGAGGAGAGGGCAAAGTGGCATCAGTCGGCCTGACCTCTGACCACCTCGCATTTTTGCTAAAAAATATAAGCATCGCCACGTGATTTTCTTCTGTAGGCTTTAAATCAAAAATATTTATATTATCCTTGAATGTTATATTTCTGAGGTATCAAATGTCTCGTTTTTTTCTGTAATATAGAACCTATAAGCCCAAAGTTTAAACTTAATTATTCAAAAACAATTTTATCCTGAATAAATAACGGCAAATAAATGCGTTTATATTTAATTTTATTTTTAAGAAACTCCCAGTTATTGCACATGTTAATAACGTAGGTCTAATCCAACCTTATATTTAAATTACATAAATTCTAAAATTCTTCTTTTTTAATGCTTATATTATTAAAATTATACAAGTACAAAAACAATTTAATTTCAAGCTTATTTACATCTAAAGAGCCTAAACCTCTTTCTGACAGAAGAATAAAAATATAATTAAAATTCAAATGGGCTGACAACAAAGGTTTCAGGAGTGCCAATGAAAACCCAATCTAGCTGCTCCATTTTTAACTGGGGGACTGGCACACGACTTGGCCTGGTCATCAAACCCAAAGCTAAGCCCAAGATGTGAACTTGAACTAGTCTAGTCTTATCGCTTGGCCAGCTATTTCGGTTTCGTTTTCCTTTTTCGCAGCTATTTATGCAAATGAAGACATCCGAAGACGTGGTTATCGAGCGTGTTTATATTGATTTTGGGTGATCGTAAAGAGCGCATTGTGGATACAATAAACCTGGCCGAAAACAACAGCCCGACACATTTCTGCCCAGTCATGCATGGCGGCCAGAAAGCCACCGATGAGACTTTAGTCTCCAAAACTTTGGCCTTTTGCCGGGCCGTAATTACAGACTTCCGTCTTTTGAACAGTTTCTCGGCCCCACCCAAGAGGCGAGTCTCGAAGAGCTGGCGGGAATGGGGATGGGGGTGTTTTCCCGATGTGGGAAGTGGATGTGGCTGATGGGATGCCAGAGGCGCCACAATGTATCCCGTTACAGGTTACAGGGCCATAAAGCGCCATAAACGCCGCGTCGGCAAGGGCAAATTATAACGCATACGGACACGTAGCCGATCCACTCGCTCGAAGGCTAATTGGACGTGCCCGGCCAGGATGCCCCTGCTCCTTTTGGGCCGACTTAAAAGTGGGCGTAACATAACAATTGTGGGCGATTTGCATACAATTTGGTGCTCGAGTGGCCAGCAAACTGGCGACGAAATGTTGCTACGTCATTGTGGCTGGTGCTTCTGGTCCATCTGGCTAATAAGTCAACGTGAATGCGGGCTGCTCTTGGCCTTTTGTCCCGCTGACAGCCGCTGACGAGCCAAACAATCGTATCAGCGGCTGGCCAGAGAGTCCATTTGCCGACATTGTCAAGGTTTTTTTGGTATACCATATACTATGCACTATACACCATACACCTGCTAATCTGTTGCGCTGACTAGCGCTTTAAAAGCCTGAAAAACTGCAGTGGTAACAAAAGGCCAAAGAGCCATTGAATATCCTTTGCAACCTCTGGCAACATGTTGCCGCATCACTTGTTGCTGCTCCTTGTGGAGAACCACAAAGGACCCACAGCCTATAAAACAGGATGTTTTGGCAAACATTCGCACAGAACCGTTCCGCATTCGACCGGGCAACAAGTGTGTGTGCGGCCAAAAGGATCCCCAATCCCGACTTCTTCCCAGTTCCGATTGAAAGGAACCAACTTCGAAGGTGAGTGGTTCAGTGGTTTCGTGCAGTTAATTAATTTTTTAAAGTCACAAGATAATTCTTTCAAAAAAAAATGTAAAGGTTCAAAAAAATTTAAACGTGTAATTCATCAAATAATTTAAAGCATGAAGAACAATTTTGCGGCTGTTTAGTATCAGTTTCAGAACAGTTCAGTTTTAAGCTAATTATTTTAAAGCAGACCTTCTGTAATGGCTTAAAATCTGAATTTATGACAGAAAACTACTTGATAAATCTAAAAAATGTCTATCTAAAAGTCTATCTAAAATCAGGGTTTATTAACTAAGTTGTAAAATCTTCTTTTGTGTCAAAGAATCTGTAAAGTTTTTTACAAGAAATTGAAGTTTTAAAACACCAATTATTTTGCTGGATCTCATCCGAGTTAGCTGAACATGTTTTCAATGTGCTTGAATCAAGTAGAATTACAATGTTTACCTCAACAACTAATTGATTAGTCCAGTCAGTGGGATCAAAATTTTCTCTTTTCTTTTGACCATTTGGTTTTGATATTGAAAACATTCACAAGAACATTTGGGCTTACACGGATTTAATGAAAGAATGTTCTCAGTTCAAGAACAATCTTCTTGAATTTTTCTCTCTGTATATTTATGTATGTGTATACTGAAAATAATATTATCTGACTGGCTTTCAGCTAATTAAAATTTTGTATCTAAAGATATTGCAATAGATATGAGACGGAACTGTGAGCGCTTTTTTTCTGACATTTGAGTTTCAACTTCATTTATATTTAATTTTATTTTTATGTATTTGCAATAAGCAAAGGTTAAACCACGAGTGTTTTCACTGGTGTTCAACTCCCACTAAAAAGCACGACATGTGATTATCTAATTTTCAAAACAAGGCAATTTTTAATTGGCCAAAATTGCCAGCTAAACTAAAACAAACTAATTCGGTTTTGTCAACTTTTCGGCTCTCCCACCTGCAAAATTAGTTAGAGTGAGGGAAAAGTCCAGCCAGGAAATAGTTTTTCCCAGAATCCGGCAGACACAAGGAGTAGTAACAGCCGTTTCGGTTAATGAAGGCAAATTGAAATATTTATGAGTGCACTTTTGGGTCCCAGAGCAGAGCTAGATTTCCATTTGCATTTCCACCTGGTGGGAAAATTGAGGAGTGTGGGAAGTGTGGAAAAGTGTTAGGGGACGGAAGTGGTGGACCACTTTCAGGTGTCGAGGACAGGGGCTCAAGAAGTGCAAAGCGAAGCGTGTGCAATTTTTGATTTATCGCCGACACTGGACAACTGAAATGGCCCGCGCCATCATTTGTCTCCGGCGGTGGCTCCTCCAGCCTGACAAATGATATTTAAATGCCCCGCCACGGGTAATGTAATGTGCTGTATAGTATGTAACCTGCGTACATGTGTCCTGCGAATCCGGGAGATGTTGCCAGGGCAGCTACTTCAAAGATATCAAACGTATCGCATATGCCATGCAAATCAGTTTAGGCCTGCCCCGAATCCCGGGTTTCATCTTCCATGCGCCTGCTAAGCGAATTAACGAGTTTGTTATTGATACCTCCCATTCCTTTTTGGCAGGTGGCTGCTCCTCATCATCCTCCCCATCCTCTGCAGAGTAAACAAGGCAGCACAGGGCACATTTATGAATTTTAAATGCACATTTCGGCATCGCAAATCAATCAGACATTTGGCAATTGTTGTCTACCCACTTCAAATTCGCTGACTCCTTGCCTCTGGAGAGGCTGTCTGTCATATTTTCTCTTGGCCCGAAGCACTGGTATTGCAACATATCCAGTCGGAGCCCATAAATTAAACGCCGCCTGACTAGTTTCCTCTTTATGGGACCCTTGAGTTTTCCCAACCTGTTGCAATGGCGGGCTGTAAATGCAACTGCAACTGCAGTTGGCCATTAAAACGGCCCGAAAGTGCGTACATATGCAAATCTTCAGACGGTTCGTCTGGGCCAACTTCTCCGCACTCCGGAATAGCTGAATACGGCTCTGATTGCCGCGACATCGAATTAAGCGAGTACCGCTGAAAGTATGTTAATGCTCGCGGTTGCGAAGTCCGCTCATCATCGCCGGCTTGGAGGTCAAGTTTTTGTCGTGAGTTGTCTGGGCAAGTTTTTAATTTTTTCCAAACGGAGCACTCAAACTTCGGCGGCGCAGAAGTGCTAATTGGCCACTGCTTGTCGGGTTGGGAAAACCCCTGGCTGCCGCTGGTTTTTCCTTCCTGCTACTTTGTTGCAACATTCATAAAAAACATTGTAGAATTTTCTTTAAATTGTGAAAAATGGTATTGTCGTTTTAAAATGACCGGTAGAACTCGTTACTAATCAGTGAGCTGCGAAATGTCGATGTCTATATCAATCTATCAATTCCATGATCAATAATGCTCACTTATATTTGTATGCTTCTAAATGATTGGAAAGGTGACCCACAACAGCACTCTTGAATTCATTACCTTACTTGTATAGTGTACTTGTGAAGAATTTATTATTATTTATTCCTAGCTTTATTTTTGGCAAATTTTTTTACTGATTTTAGGGTTTGTAAAAAGTATTCAAATTCTTATATGGAATTTTAAGGGGTTTGGTGACCCCGAATCTTTGTTTATGCCCATTAGGATTAGCCTTCTAAAAATAAAGTACGGAAAAAAGTGAAAACGGCGAACAGAGAATTCACTGAAGAGATTAAAAGTACACATGTTTACCAGACAAAAAAGTTGTTTAATTTTAAAGATTTAATTTTGGCAACCTTTTCTATTAATTTTACGTGTATAAGTATTTTTAATATTTTTTGATGAACTTTTTAAATATAGCAAGTTATGATCATTAGGGTGGACTTTTTTAAGGTCAACTGAGCTCAGCATCTTAAATGGTAGGTTTCTGTGTCCAATAAATTTATGCGAAAACCGAAAAATTTTATATCATCGTTTAGGCGGTGCGCAATGGCCCTAAAGTTTCGCTAAAAATGAAGTGTAAAACTAGGAATTTACACCATTCCATTTCTTGTCAGATTTTAATATGTCAACTTTTGGGTTTCGCTCGAATAAAAGAGTCAAGTAGAAATTTATTTCATGAATATTAACAGTTGGACGTAGCCTAACCTGTAGAGCTTCTGTCTCCCGACAAAAAGGATCGAGTTCGATGACCGACCCACCATTTTTTTTTTGTGAATCACAATAAAATAGAGATTCTATTTAACAATTTTGAAGAATAACTTTTACTGTTGCGTTCGCCAATAAAAATTTTCGTCAAGAAAAATGTCAAAGATATTGACAATTATTTTTCAGGGACCGTAATAGTTAAAAGTTAAAAGCTAAAAGTCATTGATAATTCGTTATTATTGTTATTTTTAAGTTGTAATTGTCTCCCAACGATTTGAATTTTATCACCGACCCCATCGCTTGTTAAATAGCTCGGGAAAGTGATTAAGATACTTTTTAAAATACTGTCAATGTATAAAATCAAGTCTACGGCATCTAGATGAATCTGAAAAATGCGTAATAAACTTTAAAGCCGTTGCGCACCGACTAAAACTAATTATTTTTTACTTTTTCTTTCTTTTATTGATTAAGGATACAAAAAGGCCATATATGAAGGGGTGAGAGCATGGCCTTAGAAATTTCATACAAAATAAGTCCACCCTAATGATCATAGTTATGGAACCACTTTTGAAGCTCTGCTGCTGGCCTTTGTGATTCGGTTCTAGAGACCTGAGGCCTACTGCCTCCTGCGTCATACAACCTGCAACCTGTTGCAGCTGGCACATCTCCATTGTGGCGACACGGCACTCAGCGGATCAGCTTGCCTTGAGCATTCCTCGCAGGCTGTGGGAGAGAGCCGTCACCATATCCAAAAGCCATAATCATTTGCATCTCTAATGGTGCTGCTGTGTCGTCGTCCGGACACCATACATCAACTGCTGCTCCGGCTCCCCTGGCACTTCCTCCCGACGCCCACTTCCCCGGGCGCCGTGAACAAGTGTTAATGCCTGTAAACCTGGTTATGAGCCGATGTGGGAGGCTGAGTGGGTGGCCGAGTGGGTGTGGGCGCCCATTGTTGTGCCATTGCGGTGGCCCTAATGCGGCTGGTTAACTTTTTACGCGCTGGCCCAGCAGATCTGGCCATAAATATCGTGATGGTTAATTAGCAGGACACTTTGTCGGCGAGTCCTGTGCCTTGGCTACTGTTGCCCTAAGTAAAATGAACGGCATTAACGTGATTAAAAGTAGCAATAGATAACGCGAGATGCCGCCGCCTCATAATTAATATCTCCTTTCCTTGCAGATGGGCATTGCCTTGATGTTCCTGCTGGCCCTGTACCAGATGCAGTCGGCCATCCAGAGCGAGATTATCGAGACGCCCGGCTACGGGGGCAACTCTCTGCAGGATGCGGACTCCGAGGCCGTGAGTCCTGCGCAGGACAATGACCTGGCAGACGCACTCTTCGGCAGCGATCAGACCGAGAGGGCGGAGCTGGAGTTCCGCCACCCCATCTCCGTGATCGGCATCGACTACGCCAAGAACGCGGTGGTCCTGCACTTCCAGAAGCACGGCCGCAAGCCGCGCTACAAGTTCGATCCGGAGCTGGAGGCCAAGCGGAGGTCCCTGCAGGACAACTTTATGCACTTCGGCAAGAGGCAGGCAGAGCAACTGCCTCTGGAGGGCAGCTACGGGGGATCCGAGGAGGTGGAGAGCGTGGCGAAGCGGGCCAACATGGATCGGTATGGCAGGGATCCAAAACAGGACTTTATGAGGTTCGGCCGGGATCCCAAGCAGGATTTCATGAGGTTTGGCCGGGATCCGAAGCAGGATTTCATGCGGTTTGGTCGGGATCCCAAGCAGGATTTCATGAGGTTTGGCCGGGATCCCAAGCAGGACTTCATGCGGTTCGGCCGCTCGGACAACTTCATGCGATTCGGGCGCAGTCCGCACGAGGAGCTCCGCAGTCCCAAGCAGGATTTCATGCGTTTCGGTCGCCCGGACAACTTTATGCGCTTCGGCCGCTCGGCTCCGCAGGACTTTGTGCGTTCCGGCAAGATGGACTCAAACTTCATTCGCTTTGGCAAGAGCGTTAAGCCTGCAGTGCCCGAGTCCAACCAAACCAAGTCCAATCAAGGCAAGCCTGGCGAGCGGAGTCCCGTGGACAAGGCCATGACGGAGCTGTTCAAGAAACAGGAGCTGCAGGATCAGCAGGCGAAGAGCGCCGAGCAGGCGATTTCCACGGACGAGGGCAGCTTAGAACAGGAGCACTTCTTCGGCCAGTAAACGGGTCCTGCGGGACGCCTCCTTGTAAATAGATACTGACAAATGTACCCACGAATCGTAATTGATATACGTATACTTCGAACTCTACACTAAACCCTGATAAATACCTAAACTATGAATTTTTAATAAATGGGCTGGATTAAAAATTCACCACGCTTAAAGATCTTATCTATAAAACATACCTAGTGTAATATTGAATGCATTGAAACGGTGGGAAAAAGTCTTTTGCCAAAATTTCAAATAAAGATTGCTTAACTGTATCTTCTGGTTAACTCAGGTCCTCAGTCGGAATTTTTTTTGAGGGTCTTGTACATAAATAAATAATATATGGTATGGTTTCAATAATGGTTTTCAAACTCAACTTTTTTAGTTTTATTTTTTTATTTATCCACTTTTGCTATTTTTTAATGTCTATAAAAGTAGATCGAGATCAATTTTTTATTCCAAACTAAACTAATTTAGAATCGCACCACAAAACACGAGCTTCTGCACTTTATTTTTTTCAAATTTCCACCTAAATAACTTCCGTATTTTAATCATGTCCGACTGTCCGTCCGTATAAACGCTGAGATCTCGGTTAATTGGGGTTCCTGCGCAGCGCAAGATTGATTTAACAAGATGACATGCCCCCTCTGACGCCCACAATAGCCAAAGCGACTTTGAATTGTGTCTGCCGCCCTCATTTTTAAAGATTTTGGAAGAGTAAAAATGCAATTTTATTTTGTTTATCAATAACTATCTATCTATGTAAAAGAAATTTTTCAACGCTTTTTTAATAATAGTCAAACTTAATTTTGGAATAATATAAAAAAACTAATTGATATGGTTCAGTTCAATTGCACAGTTCGGTTTGCTATCCTTACACACTTAACCATGAATTTTTTACCGGGATGTCCTTAAATTTAGTTCAATAGATAACAACAGTCCCAATACTTCTTTTTGTATTGCAGGCCACAGATTGTTTCGTTTATTTTAAAAACTATGGATAATAACGTCTTTTGAATGCTTGGCAACTCTGAAATTGAGTACAGGTTTGTGACACCACTAGATTACCAAGATGGTTTGAGTCCCCGAAAAGTGGTAATTTTTAGTACCACTCCTTCTTATCGCCCAGCTGTAAGCATAAAAAAACCGCTACTTGAGAGTTGGATCCAAACCGCTTTAATATTGCAGTTTTATCAGTTTATTTGGATTCCAAGTTCGCAATCTCGAGTGGAATAAAACTCATTTACGAACAGTAAACATTGCCAACGAACTTTGGACGGCGCTACGTCATCAGCTGGACGGGTCTAAAGTCCAACTTGTTGCACCGATCTTGTTGTTTGTGTTGTGTTTTGGATCAGAGTAAACACAACAACATACATACACACGTTTGTAGGAACAGTTTAGTGCAGTTCTAGGACTCTTCCCACTGTTAAACCGATATTAGCTGAGAAGGGAAGGGAAAATGTCGGCCCTTTTGAAAATGCACAGAGGTAAGTGTTCCCAGAACGGAAATTTCGGGGGATTACATAACCGCAAAGATGCCAACAGACACACAAATGACACCCCTCTAAACCTCTGAACCTTACTGATTATACAATCTTCGTTTCCCCATCCAGTTCAGAGGCTCTTTAGACCCACCTTGGTGCGAAGCATCTCGGAGGTGGCCAAATATCCCAGGATCACCACCCACTACACGCTGAATCCCCGCGAGAAGGATGACCGCTGGACAGAGGTGGACATGGAGCGCTGCGTCGAGGAGGTGGACCTGGTGATCGTGGGCGGAGGTCCCGCCGGCATGTCAGCGGCCATTCGGGCCAAGCAACTGGCGGCGGAGAAGGATCAGGTGAAGGATCAGCAGCTCCATCTTATCCCAACCATTCTAACCCATTACTGATTTGCAGGAAATCCGCGTCTGCGTGGTGGAAAAGTCAGCCGAAGTGGGCGGGCACATTCTATCCGGTGCCGTCATCGACCCCATCTCGCTGAACGAGCTCATCCCCGACTGGCAGGAGCAGGGCGCTCCGCTCAACACACCCGTGACCAGGGACACCTTCTCCTTCCTCACCGGCTCCGGCCGCATCTCTATACCCGTCTTCAAGGGCTGGCCCATGGACAACCACGGCAACTATGTGGTGCGCCTGGGCCACCTGGTCAAGTGGCTCGGCGACCAGGCGGAGGCCCTGGGCGTGGAGATCTACCCCGGCTGCGCTGCCTCCGAGGTGCTCTTCCACGAGGACGGCAGTGTCAAGGGCATCGCCACCAACGATGTGGGCATTGCCAAGAGCGGGGCGCCGAAGGACACGTTTGCCCGCGGCATGGAGCTGCACGCCAAGACCACCATCTTCGCCGAGGGCTGCCGCGGTCACCTGACCAAGCAGATCATGCAGAAGTTCGGCCTGAACGAGGGCAGCGAGCCGCAGGCCTATGGCATCGGTCTAAAAGAGGTCTGGGAGATTGCCCCCGAGAAGCACCAGTGAGTGGCTATAAAAGTGAGCAATAGAGAATCACTTCCTACTTAAGTTAACCCCTCTTTCAGACCCGGTTTGGTGGAGCACACCATTGGCTGGCCTCTGGACCGCTTCACCTACGGCGGCTCCTTCTTGTACCACTTGAACGAGCCCACGCCCACCATTGCAGTGGGCTTTGTGGTGGGTCTGAACTACAAGAACCCCTGGCTCAGTCCCTTCCAGGAGTTCCAGCGCTTCAAGACGCATCCCAAGGTGCGGCACGTCTTCGAGGGCGCCACGCGAATCGCCTACGGAGCCCGTGCCATCAACGAGGGCGGCTTCCAGAGTCTGCCGCAGAAGCTCTCCTTCCCGGGAGGCTGCCTGGTGGGCTGCAGTGCCGGCTTCCTGAATGTGCCGCGCATCAAGGGCTCCCACTACGCGATGAAGAGCGGAATGCTGGCGGCGGAGAGCGCCTTGGAGGCCATCAATGCGGACGCACAATCCACGGCAGGCGTAGAGCCCACCAGCTATGCGGAGAAGTGAGTTAGGAGTTCAGTAGAAAAAAGATTCGCTACTAATACATGAATCCCTTCCAGAATCAAGAACTCCTTTGTGTGGAAGGACCTGTACAGCGTCCGCAATGTCCACCCCTCGTTCCACAATCCTCTGGGTCTGTACGGCGGCCTTGTGCTCAGCGGCTTCTCCATTTTCATGGGCGGTCGGGAGCCCTGGACCCTGAAGCACGGTCCTCAGGACCACGAGTCCCTGCAGCCCGCCAGCTCCAGCCAGCCCATCGTTTACCCCAAGCCCGATGGCAAGATCTCCTTCGATCTGCTCTCCTCGGTCGCACTCACCGGCACGAACCACGAGGGCGACCAGCCCGCCCATCTGACGCTCAAGGACGACCGCGTACCGGTGGACCACAACCTGGCGCTGTACGAGGGACCCGAGCAGCGGTTCTGCCCGGCCGGCGTGTACGAGTACGTGCCCAACGAGGAGGGCGGCAACATGAAGCTGCAGATCAACGCCCAGAACTGCATCCACTGCAAGACCTGTGATATCAAGGACCCCAAGCAGAACATCAACTGGGTGGTGCCCGAGGGAGGCGGCGGTCCCGCCTACAACGGCATGTGAAGGGAGCATCATCCCGGCCAATTCGTGTACCGCAATTGCATTTCACTAGTTTATAAAATCGATAACTTGAACTTATGATTCGGAATTAAGCCTAAAGTTGCAATAAAATTGTAGAAAAAAAGACAGGAAATTCAGTTGCCAAAAAGGTTTTATTTAAAATTGTCTACTATCATTTGTTCGGTTTTGTTCTCGTTTTCTTTTTCTGTTTAAAACACCAACTTAATAGGTAAATATTGAATCCACAATTTGTTAATTTTTCCAAAACCTTTCATATTCAGTGCACGGATAAAACTTGTTTCTCATTATATAGTTTCACATATATATATTCATGTATAATGTACTTTCTTGTTTTTCACCAAAACGGTTGCTTGTCCTTAGCCTAGAGTTACGATTTAGTTGTATATGGTTATTTGAACAGACACATCGATGGACACTCTGTGTAGGTGACCCTCTCTCTGAAATGCTCCCTAATCTTTGTGCATATCCGCATATCACTCCCAGACCTATCTAGAGTTTAGCCGAACATTTATGCCTCAATATTCTCTAAGTGAGTTCAAGCACAAGTCTTTGAATAACTATTACATGATGCTTGTGGAGTGCCACATAAATCCCATTACAACAGTGCGTAGGTTTAACATTTTATCTAGGTATTATCCTAAAGGTACAGCGAATACGAATTTACACTCTGGACGATCCCGCCTTCTCGATTATTTCTGTGCTGTGAGTGGTCCCTGTGACCGTAGGACGTCTTCTAGACAGTCAACTGTACAGTGCGTCAAATATATTTAACTCCTAGCAATATCTAATCTTCCTTTAACTAGACTACATACATGTATATATATGGGTTTCTGGGTAAGCCTTCCTTATGCAATGCCAATTGAAACGCCCTTTTGTACATTACGTGCTGCTTAGTGGAGGTTATCTCTCTCGGGATTTCACTAGGGTTCGATTAGGTTAATATCAGTTTCCAGATTTATCTACGCCTATTTAAATAGCACAATTAACACCTGTATTGAAATTTTTCACCATCAAGTTGTTCGTTATCATTATCATTTGCAATCAACATTAGTACAACATTCAGCTATATCTGCATGTATTTGTTTGTTCATCAAAAAGAGGCACTGTTTTTAAGGCAACACTACACAGTGAAGTTTTATACCAGGATCTATGTACATAAACAGAACAAGGTAGAACAAAATTATAAGTTTGGGAAAATCCGAAAAGTTCTTGCAAATCATATGAAAATCATTTGGGGACAGGGTTCAGGTTACAACATTCAGGGGTGCAACAAAGATACCCACAAATATTCACATCACATATAACATATATGTACACAAAGGTATTTAATATATAACTAACAAAGAGCAGGCCATCTTATGCGGGAGTTACAGGAAAATATTTACTATGAGACGGACTGCTCTGCGGACAAAGTACGTGTATTTTACACTGGGTCCAGGGTCTCTCATCCTAAAAGTACGCTTCGGTTTGGGAAACCTCCGCCGGTTGCTTAGTCTATGTATATCGTATATGGCTAGAAAATATTCTTCGCGTGCTGGTAGACCTATAATTTCGCACTTCCGTTCCGCTTCAATCTGCTTAACTATGTAGGTGTTGTAAAGCTTGTTCAATGGGGAAACCTGTAGAGTGTAAGTTTGCTTATTGTTTATGCTCTCCGCCGGCTGCACCTGCATTTTCGCCTCTTGTAATCAAATATGCACAGCTGATGCAGCTCGGCTCCAATACAAATACAAATGTACATAAAATATTTCATTTCTTTTTGTCTGCTGTCTAAAGTGCAACAGGTCATATGGCCACTGCAAATATTTGCGGGCGCGTTTACCCCTTAGTCAAATATAGGCAATTTCGAAGTGGGCAACTGACATTGACACAGGCGCAGACACGCCCACTTGTACTGGGGCCTGTTCAAATATGGCCGGGTAAATTGTACAGAGAACAAATAAAGATATGGATTAATCAAATAAAACTGGCAACGAACACAAGAACGAAAACGAAAAATGTTCTTTAATAATTTTATTTAAATTATATTTTGTTGAGTTGTTGTTGCGGTTGCGATTGTTGTTGTTTTACAAACTGCATTAAATGTAAAAAATACAAAACTTAGGCACAAGAATTTGAAACACTTCAAATTGAATAGAAATCCACTTTAAATTTAAATTACAAATTATGACTTCGTTTCGCTTAAGAGATGAAGAGAAAAGTGTCTATTAAATAATCGCTTAAATCAAAACTAAATCATAATCATAAAGTGTGTATATGTACTTGCATGGGGCTGTGATTTTGGTTCGAATCGGGCCAACCAACACGGCTAGAAAACCCCCAAAGGGTGTGTATGCATAGAACATAACTAAAAATTGACGATAAATTGCACAAAACTACAAATTATGTTCGAACACTGAGTACATCTGCATGAGGGTCTGTGTTTTTTGCTTAGAACTTCTCAATCGTTTCATCGTATGACTTGTATGGTTTACGTATCTCGTAGTTCCCTACGAACTAAGTTTAAAACTTATGACACTAAAATCAAATATTTACAGCATAAAGAGCTCCTCCTTCCATCGTTTCCGTTTTGTTTTTTCCTTTTTTTTTTGTCTGCAGTATTTTGACCTAAGATTAGATTTAACATTAACTTTAACCGTACTCGTAACTCTGTATTTGTAATTGTAACTAAACTAAATCAGCTCAACACTCTAGCCTGCTCGAATTCCCCAGCAGGATGCTCTGCGTATATAATTTAAAATTATAACTATTACCGTAGGTGTGTAATCGTAATTCATTTAAGATACAATAACTATAGATATGACACTGTCACTGTTCGCTTAAACCGAAAACAAAACAAAACTGCCTCCGGTTTCCTCTACCTTTCTCTCCCCCTCAACTATTGCACTGGTCCGGAAACGGAGGACGCGGTGGTGGCTACGGGTGCTGCTGGGCTCCGTAGGCCACCGCCAGCTGCTGGCCATAGCAGTCGTAGCCGGACTGCAGGAGGCTGTAGGAGCTGCGGCCCATGTCCTTACGCGGCGGTGGCGGCATCATCGCCAGGTCATCGCACTCCGCCGGCTTCTTCCCGCTGCCGCTGCTGCTGCTGATGGTGTTGCCGCTGTTGATGCTGCTGCAGCCGATGTGGTTGTTGTTGTGATGTGGCTTGTAGTGGCTGCTACCGGCAGCTCGTGCCGGCTATGTGCCCCATCCGCCCGATATTCTCGGTCGTTTGTGGTTGGGGGCATCGTAGTCGCCCAGCTGCTGCTGCTGATGTTGCTGCTGCTGCTGCTGTTGCTGCTGCTGCACGGCGACGGCGGCCAGACGGACATCCTGCTCGCTGCTCGGCGCACCTGCATTAAGGATAATGAAGTCTGTTAAGCTATTAGTTTGATTTGATCCAAGGTCGCGTGTGTATGACAAAGGCAGGCAGACTGGGGCGTGGCCAGAAGCTTGAACATTCAGCCTCTGACCGCTGTGAGCTTGTGTGTCTTGTGATCATGAGTTCATCAGTTCCAGATGTCACCGATGACTTCGTCGGTGACTTCTAGAACTGCATGTTGTGTATTGGGTTAGCAGGAAATCGCTTGGTTGTGTGGTTAGTGGAGGAATTTCAAAACGAAAGCCAGGCAAACGAAATTTCTGTGGAATTTCTCAATCTCAAAGGCCCCCGAAAACTCAAAGTAACTCAAAACTTAACCGCCCTTCCACTAAAAAACAGAGAATTTCTTAGTATTTACAAGAATTTTGCTATAGTTTTGTATGTATGCGTATATATAGGTGGTTGTATGCTTGTATGTGTATATGTGTGTGTGTGTCTGAATGTGTTTGATGTATTTTTCGTTTGTGGCCAATTTACCGGCAAAATTCCATCTAGGATTATGTCCCATTAGCGCGCGGTACGGATATCCTTCATACTTATCATGCCCTAAATATTATCACACATTGTTGTTGTTGTCGTTGTCGTTGTGGGTTAATGCAAAAGAACAATATAGTAACAATATTAGAACGGCAGGTTGCAATTAGGTAAGAGTAAAACGAAAATCCGAGTGCCTCGACGGGCAACGCGGCGTATACGTAATGGGGCGTTAAGTATACGCCCGTTGGACACAAGAAATTAAACATTAAAAGATAGTTAGGAGAGAGCGTTTCTAGTGCTAAATCATGCCGCTAAATAAATTATTTTTTGTATTGAATTTTGTAACTCTAGACAAATTAGTAGACAAACGGCAGCAATTTTCGCAAGCGGAAGTCCTTCGAACACAAGGGAAAAGTCGAGAACAAAGGAAAGGAGAGCGAGAAAGTGGAAAAAAAGACAAATTGAAGGCCTACCTGGAGTGGGTGTAATGTGGCCCGTGGACGAGGGCCGCGAGTTGGGCATGACCAGGTGGTGCTGCTGCGCGTGGCTCAACACGCTCAGATTGGTGGCCTGCTCGACACTCCCGTTGCTGCCGCCACCTCCTCCTCCTCCTCCTGGCCCCGAAGGACCTCCTGCCAGGACACTGACGTTGTTCAAGTGCGTGATGACATTGGCGGCGCTGACGGCTCCACCGCCGCCTCCTCCGCCACCTCCTCCGCTGGCATTGCTGCTGGTGCTGCTGCTGGATCCGCCGCTGCCCGTCGACCCATTGCTGTTCTGCTGATGGCCGCTGGCGGAGAGATCTCGCGGCGGCGACTGCGGCTCGGCCTTGACCTTAATGGAGACGGGTGAGGTGGCGGGCGGCGGCGTGCTATTCGAGACAGCCAGGTGCGAGAGACTGGAAGGGAGATACAAATTATTGGTTATCTATAGCAGCAGTTTTATTAGATAGACGTATGCTCACCTAGAGTGCGGCACCAGGCCCTGATGCCAAGTGTTGAGGCTCATGATATCCGCGCTGTTCATCACCCCGGAGGAGGAGAAGTCCTGCGCCCCGAAGGAGTAGCTCGTGAGGGCGGGAATTGGCGTCTGCAGCGTGACCACTGGCGTGTTCAGCGATGTCTGACTCTGTCGTTGCTAGGGGATTAGGATTAGAGATTCAACCGAGGTAATTATAAGGCCAATTAGGAAAAACTATGGGGCACTCACATCTGCATAGGCCACGTCATCTGGCGCGGACATGTTGGGCGGTATGGGGGCTATGGTGGGCGGTATGACGACCCTTAGGTTGGAAGCTCGTCCGTTCTGGCTGCCCGGCGACTGCTGCTTGATGGACAAGTGGTGGGCTGCAAGGAGATCTCGGTTAGTCAGTGGCCACACCCACGCGATGTGATGTTAGGTTCGGATTGTGGATTGTTAGGTGATTGAGGAGGATGAGAAGGATGAGGGGGAGTAATGTTTATGCCCACCTATGCCTGGACTGGGACCCGGACTCGGTGATCCCACAAGCGGCGAGTGTGAATGCGGATAGCCGTTCGACATCTCCAGCATGGAACCCGATGGATAGACTGATGGATAGAAGATGCAAACACACGTTTAGACCGGATCGCTATCGCTATATGTACATATCATACAGAACTTCGCACGCAACTTGGTTAGATGGCGGTGAGTGGGTTAGGGAAATCAGGTGTTAGAAATCAAAAGTCAGAAATCAGAAGCAACAGAACCGAGGTTAGAGGTTAGATTGGGTTAGAGTTTAAAGTTTCGAGCAATCATGCAGATCAGATCAAGTAAAACCAAAGAACAAAACCAACGATAGATAGATAGAAATGTGTGTGCAGCCGGCGCGAGACACTGTACTAACTTATCAGGGACATCCCACCTGAATCCGTCTCCGAACTCGATGGTCGTGGGCTGATGTTGGTGTGGGACATCTGTGGGCTGGCCTGCAGCAGGTTGTCCCCGTAGGAGCCCGGCACCGGAACGGAAACGGGCAGCGTGTAGCTGCTGTTGGGCAGCTGGCGCGGCGCTCCCGCCCCGCCGATGGCCATCTGGTTGCGCTGCATCATGTTCTGGAACTCCTCGTCGATCTTGTTGTACTTGGCCTCCGTTCGCGGCGTGAGTGTGTAGTCCGTTTCGGCTTCGGGCGAGTCCGGCGACATCACGCCGTTCTTGTTCTCCTTCTGCAAAGGGCGAGAACGAGCCGAAAACCTGTTAGAGACGGACGTCCGAACGACGAGTGACGCGATAATTGCCCAAGGCTTTCCTTTCGGGCCACTTGACGCTTTGTTGTGCTAAATTATGTAAATGCAAATCTTGTCCTGCCCTGCGTTCCCTCTGCAGCATATTAACATTACAAAACCATTTACGCGCGGACAGCGACGACGGCGACACCGCATTAGAAATGCAAAATACTCTGGCGACATTTCCCCCTCTGTCGTCGTTTACTTTCTCCCTCGCCAAATGCTGCTTTTATTGCCATCGCTTTAATCCTTGCCAAAGGCTCTGTACAGGTTTGCTTTAAGGTCTGCAGCACTTCCGGAATTATGAATTTATTGCAGGGCATCCAGAGATACTGGATTATGTATGCACAGACAAAGAAAATACATTTCAAGCCTATTACTTTCATGACTTTTCATTTAATAGGTACTTTAATTTCAAACAGCTTCATACTTAAGACCGTTCATTCGTCTGTTTGTTAAATTTAAAATATGGTTTAAACCCTGAAATCGTATGGGAAATCAGAGGTTAAAGGTCGCTTTACATTTAAGAGGTGGACTTGAAAACTTAGTCCCTTTTGGGCCGTTTTATTGTTACCTTGAAAACGTATGAAAATTCCGAGTTTAAAGCCTATTTTAAATTTAACAGGTGGACTAAAAAAAAAGATTCCAGGCTCAAGATTTATTTATTTTACCTTTCCTGCTCACTACTTAGTTCTCACTTAATTCTACTGCAGCTGAATTTCCAGATAAGTGTGAAAAAAATCTAACTATTTATTTATAAGACCAGCAGGGTATTTCCCAGTATGGTCTAATGTCTTTTTGAGTTCCCCTTGCTTTCCACCCTTCTGCTTCGGCGTTTGCAACTGTGCTTTTCACGGCCCACTTGAATTTGCATAATGGCGCTCTCTTTCGCGCCGCTTTCCCTCGCTTTTCCGCCCAATTTTCCATCCCCTGCCCTTAGCCCCCCACTTACCTCGATGATGTTCTTGTTGGTGAGGGACTCGTGGGGCTCGTTGTACTCGGTGTACTTGAGCAGGACGCGATCCATGTCGGTGCTGGCGTACTGGTACAGCTTGTTGCTCGACGAGAAGATGATCAGGGCGATCTCGCAGTCGCAGAGCACCGACAGCTCGTAGGCCTTCTTCATCACGCCGAACTTGCGCTTGTTGAAGGTCACCTAAATCGGAAACGGAAGTGCGTTCAATTACGGCTCTTGCTCAAATATTTATGCGGTTCGAAAATGTAATTAGAGGCATGGCCTTAGCCCAAGTGGCCTGGCCAAGTGGCAAAGTGGCCCAAGCCCTCGCCGGGCTAGTTGGTAATGAATCGATTATGGCCGAGTCAAGGCCAAAGGGGCACAACAATAAACAAGTTGTTACTGTTCCTGGGCGATGACGCGTTTATGGCTTGGCCAAGACACCGCCGCAGTCGAAAGAGAACAGCAGGTCGTTGGGAAAACCTTGCGATGACACGACACACGCTCGACAGTTAAAAAATGGGTGTGGTAAATGGAAATAATATCTAACATATATTTTTGGGAAAATCGAATTTAATGCAGAAGGCACAAAATGTAAAATAAATAATGGGTTTACTTGATTCAAGAGTATGATTTTTAAATAAAATAAATTTGTGTGAGTATAAGAATTAATTGTTTCTATCTTCTGGGAATTTTAAAAATAAAGGGAAAATATAACAATAAAATTTACAAATAATTATAACAACATTTTAATGAAGTATACTACACACGGTCAATTTATTCTTGAAATTAGTTTAAAATCCAATCTCATTTTATCCACACAAGTAACTATAGTATAGGTCACATATTCACATGTAGACAAACTTTAATTCTGAGAATATTATTTCCCAATCATGTCAGTTAATCAGACTTAAATTAGCTCTCCTAATTCAACAACATAATTCACTGAAAACCTAGTGTCACAATTTAATGGGGAAATGCCATATCGACAAAGGTTCGGTTTCAATTTAATGGCCGTAAATCGATTCATTGCTGTCTTAATTAAGTTACATTGCCATGGCAAAAGCGAAGCTTCTGCCTCGGGAATGGCAAACAATTGTTGCTCACTGAATTATTATTATTAAACAAACATATTGACACTCACCTGCCGATTGCGTTCATCGGTGATGCGTGATATTTGAATTTTTTTGCGACCCATGGCAACAGTTCTCCTATCCTCCTGCGATGGAAACAGAGATGGCGATGTCCTTGCGCTTGGCTGGCTTTCTGACTTGGTCTCTTGTCTGCTGGGTATTCTAATTTTCCGGCAGCTATCGGGAAAACTCTGTTAGTGGCTGCCCTGCGGATTGCTGTGGCTCTTCCTGAAGATGTGGCAGACGTGGGGCATATTTATATATATTGTCTATATATTATCCCTTCCTTGTGTTGTATAAGTGGACGGCTTGTCAAAACGGCAAAAAATTTAGTTGTATATCTGTAGGTGTGTGTATAACTTTATATAATTGTGTTTCCGTATAAATTGTCCTCAGGTAACTGAAACGAAAGGCAGAGACGAGAGGAAAACAATAAGTGATTGACTAGATAAGTGGGTGGGAGTATTTAACCCATGGCCAAGCATTTAACCCACTTAGCTGGCGACTTCAAAAGGGTTTTTCAGCTGGACGGGGCAGGATTTGCGGTCAACTTGCTCCATTGTCGCTCCACTGGCGCTGAAAGTTCAATGCACCGCTAATGAAGAGCGGGTTACATACTATATTTCGCCCACGATGACCTATTTCATGGGCTGGCTTCAGTTAATTGATGTCGACTGACTGACCCCACGCATGATTAGATTCGCGCTGTCCCTCTGCCCTCCGAGGTCCTGGCTCCTAGATCTACTGCCTTTGATGTCCTGCCAACGCTCACCGCACACACACACACGCACTAAATCAATAAGGATGTGCCAACAAGCTCACTTGCAAACTGTTTTAAAGCGGAAACGGAAGCGGCACTCCAGATCCCGTTTTTCCGTTTGCCCGGGGCAACGGCAACACTCAAGAGCACCGGCGGAAGCTGGGTCCCTGTCGCTTTCCACCGTTTTCCCCGCACTCTTCGCCATTTTCCCTCTGCGGCAGCGGCACGTGGCTGGCAAACGCGAGCCAGCAAAAACATCCTCAGGACCCCTCACTGCTCCTTTGAGCCAGGCAATTTTATCACTGAGACAAAAGTGGGTTATCAACTCGGAAAGAAGTTATCGAATTATAAAAAAGGTACAAAAAAACTCGACAGTTTTTCAATCTATTTATATATTATTTAATTCTGTCATAAAAGCTTTGCACTTAAAACAGAGCTCTTTATGTATAATGCATTTATTTTTTTCAGAAACTGTCTTCAGAATACTACTTACAGATTCGTTTTCCTTAATTTATCTAATTAATTATTTTATAATAATTTAAGGCAGAAATTAGGGGGGATTTTTAGAATATTTTACATCGAATTGTTATTAAATTTTTCTAAAATATTCTCATGATTTTTTTGACAACTTGAAATCATTTTTCTCCGTATCTTGCAAGAGGAAATCGAGGCGGATAAATTTCAGTTGCCTCAGTCTTGGTCTTCCTTTTCGTCTTCGCCTGTTGTTTGTCCTCTGGCCAGGACTCGGGACAACAACAACCAGAACAAGAACAACAAGTGCCTTGGCAACGCTTTCCCCTTACCATCCCCCTTCTTTCTCTCCTCCCCACCCCTTCACTTTCCCCGCTCACTTTTCCTCGACTCACGCAGCGACCTACGCAATATGCTTCAGCTTTCAGCTGTGCCAGCGGGATGAGGTGGGTGTTTTTGTGGGTGGGCGGGTGAAATGGGTTGTGACAGGACCTGGGGGGATGGGGGCGGGGTCTTAGCCTTGACGAATATGTGTGACAGCCAGCACACACACTCCCAGAAGCGAGGACACACTCAACAAATTCGATACATTTTCCTGCTTTTCCCATTTGCCTTCCTTTTATTCGGGCGACCCGCCATGATTATGCGTGAGTTTTGTATTCGGTGACTTGAACATTCATTATTGATATGGAAAAGAAACGAAATGGAAGCAAGAGCCGGGCATAAGGAATGAATCGATAATGATATTGATGACGATACCATTTGATTCGCTATCAACCGAGCTCGGAGACATCGTGGAGTGAATAAAGCCGCCCGATGACTTTCTTTCGGGGATTTAATGGCATGACCACGGACAAGTGTTGCTCCAAATGAATCAGAAAAAAAGAAGGACAAGAAAAGGATAGGGTATTAAGTATACGCAGTGGTGTGCCCCATGCCACCTCAATCAATAATTATCCGTTTAGTAATCAATATTAGATTTTGGAAAATTCTATCCAGCTCCTGTTTGTGTTTGGGCTAAGCACTTGGGCCATAATTAAGGGACACCTAATCCGCTTAGCATGTGCCACTCACAATTTTGTGATTGCCGCTCTGGGGATTATCTCGAAAATAGGCCTGCGACTGAGTGCCCTGCAGTAAGTCATGTTTTAGTCACTTCTTGAGTGGCTTTGTGTGTTCCTCCAGCTGCAGTGGAGCAGAGCCCCAACGGATGCTTAGAGTGACGATAAGTTACAGAAATCCAACTCTTACGACGAGTGCGTCAATGCCGCAGCGATGAATAATTGAAGGCGCGAGGAAAAGCTGGCAAGTTATCACACCGCAAGTGAGTCAATTAGTGGCCGCATGCCACATGCCACTTGCCAGTATCTCTGTGTGTATCTCTGTGACTCTGACTGTCATTGCAACATCTGCCAAGGGGAGAAAAGGGAAAAGGGCGGCAGACACAAGGCCATGTGGCAGACAGCAGCAGGACATCAAGTGCTCGAATTACGAATTTGTCCTGTTTTGTAGCATACTTATCAGCGTCTGCAATTGAATTACACTCACGCTGCTTTGGATACAGCTTGAAAGCAGACAAATGGAGGAAGTTTTAAATGCCTACAGAGAGTTTACAGCAGGCTGATTGAACATTGAAAATGTATATAAGCATAGATAGACTTAAATTGCATTTCCAATGGTTATATTAAACAAAGAAAGTACTTTGGACAACAACAAAAAATCAATGCAAACATAAATGAAGTTATCTTCAAAATATTTGTTATCTTCAAAGAATTCTGAGCGTGTGTTTTTAAAGCCAAAAAGAAGAAGGTGTACTAATATTTTTAAATTATTTTTGTAATGAAAGTAAGAAAGTAACTGCACGTTTGTAAAAATTGTTGAAGACCTAATGAGCCTGGAATACTTTTAAACTTTAAACTTTCTACAGTGAACGTGAGCGGCAGAGGCTGGGCAGAATTACTGCCTAGCGTCCGCTGTCTGGAACATCCTAAAGTATTTGGGGTTCCTTTTTATCGCCCAGATCCTCCCCACCCCCTTTGTGTTTACCAAAGTTCCACTCCAAAGTTATCGGAAATCTGCATTCAGTGCGCGGGAGAGGTATTCGCTCAACCAGTATCTAATCTCGCGAGAATTTCAAGTTGCCAAAAACTCTTTATAAATCAAATGGTCACGTCATTCGCGACCCGTACATAGTATATTAATGGGCCTGTGTTTGTTTAGTCAAGCGGCACTTCAAGTGGTGCAGGTGTGGGCCCCGGCGAAAGCAATCAAGAATGGCAGCAGAAATATTTGACTAATTGCAGGCTAAAAAGTTAAGAAAGAGAAGGTGGGAAAAGGGCTAATCACCGCAACGGAATGTGGCGAGAAACAAAGGATGTGCGGAATCTGTGGCCCGGGGGCCGAAAGAACTTAACACGGTTTTCATTGCAACAATCAACCATTTGCGGTTGCAACTTTTCACTGGGTCAACGGCAAAGGCGGCACTCGAGTGGGATGGAAGCAAAAAAAAAAATAAAATGGAAAGGAAGGAAGGATGTGCCGAGTCTGTTCCATTGGAGGATGTGTGTCAAGACATTTGTCTTGTGGCCGGGCAATTAAAACGAAGCGAACTGCCGCCACGCCACACACGTTTGCCAGTTTCTCCATTTAATTGGCCCAAAGACTGCGGCGACATCATTAGGCAAATGGCCAAGAACAAATCTCAAGAATGTGGGTGTTTGGCTCAGAGTCTCAGAATCCCTCTGCCTGGCAACTTTGTCGTTTTCCCTAATTGTTTGGCCCAACAAAGGCGGGGACATTATCGATTTGATTTAGTGAATCACGATCTGCGGCTTTTTCTCCGATGAGCAGGCATTAAAAGGCGAAAACTTGTTGCTCGGCTTGATTGCGCTCAATTAGCATTTGTTGCGGGCAAATTTATGCAAATTTTAAACTTTTCCGTATTTTGGAGGAATGAACTCCGAACCGATTTGCGTAAACCAGTTGTGGTCGCAATGAGATGAGCCGATGCCGATCTGAATGCAATCTCTCACCGCGCGAAGCTCACAGCCTCAATTAGAGCGACAGAGAACGCAGGCAAGACCTTTCATAAATTCCGTTTTAATGGCAGCTGCCCGACCAAATTTCAAGTTTAAAAAACTCCAAATTTATCACCTGCATTTAGAGTAATATAAATGCTGGCTGTGCATATGTATGATTGCCTAACTTATGAATGTGATAGATTTTTTTTAGCTTTATCATTTTACTAGATCTCAGCTTTTTCGGGAAGCTTTGGCTTCCTTGGTCGCATTTCACTTTCACTTTTCACCAGCCCGAGATCTGTCAATGTCCCCAGACTTTTGTTATTGTTGTTAATGTGCCGCAGTTAACGCATTCTTGGGATTCTGGTTATAAATCTTGACTTAATTAAAGACACGCGCACGCTTTAAGACGCGTTGAAACGAGTCATTTGAAGCTGCCACCGAGGCGGAACTTTTTTCGGTAGTCGAGGGAGGTCGGAAATTGAGTTTAGAACTGTAAATTTCCTAACGAACACGTAGTCATTGTTACAATGTGTCCGATGAGAAGTTCAATCTAAGTGTTGGAATACTTCTAAAGGTCGAATTGGAAGTAGGTACTAATTAAAAGGTTTTTATAACCCTTGCTTTAAATATCATGCTTGTAATGGTTCTATTCTCCTTTAAAATATCAAATAAGGGGAAAGACAACATAATGAACTTATTAGGAAATATTATATTTAATTCCTGAGGAACAAAATACTGTTTTAATAAACTTTTGCTATTTTATAGCTGTATTACAAGATCAATGAATAATCCTATAATTTTTAAGGTTCTTGCTTATTAAGTGAGTGAAAATCGGCACACTTAGATTTCCAATGTTTTTGCAAACATTCGCATTGGCAGTGCGATATCTGGCATTTTTCCTGCAGCCTGTTTATCAACAATTTCGATTGCAAAAAGAAGTAAATCCAAGGTTTTGGTTTTTTTTTTGGTTGGCCCGAAACACGCGTCTCATGTTAAGGTAGTCGAACAATTTGAGTTCCCGGGCCCCGAGTCACCTATAAGTACACCTAGTGCCTCTATCTTATCGCCAGCACTCACACAGGCGCGAAACAAGGCAAAGTGTGGGAGAGAGAGCCAAACAAAAACACAGCAGAAAAAGAAAGAAAT